GCCTGTTTGAATTACAACTGATTTTAACATACAGTTAGTATGACACGTAAAATCTGTCTGAATTATGACCAAATTATATTTACTCCTGTCTGGATAGCATACAGGCTGTTCACTAGTGGGTAATGATATATTATTAGTAAAACCCAGTAAAAGGCATTTGTAAAATAGTTTATGTAAAAACAAGGTGAAGGACGTTACCAGTGAAGAAAGTCTTCATCTTGTGTTCCAGGTGTGTTGTTGGTGGTAGCCGTTATCACTTTCGGCTCGTCCGTGTCATCAGAGAGCTGGACATCCCGATCTGACTATAATTTTGCGTTCTATTTAATTATCTTTTCTCTGATTGGATATACTGGATGTGCCATTCTCATCATTGTTGGCATTTGCACAGCAAAGGCAATTACAACTGGTAAGTGTACACACACCGGGAACGCCATCCACAGAGAATACATCCATCTATCGCCTTCCCTGATGAACACATGCAGACATGCAAAACAATGTGTAATTCAAGACAGATTTTCTTATTCCAAACAAATTTAGTCTGAATATCTTTCGGGATCACAATAAAACTTATAGATGAAGTTAGTGTGTCGCCTCTTGTTGGGGTCTAAAAGCGGGGAAATGTGTGGTTATGCCGTGTCATTCTCATCATTTCATACTCAGTTTATCATAAAAAGGCTCTATGTTCTCTTTTTTGTTACAACATAATCTTGAGGAAGAGCATGGCATACCCCTTTAAAGTTCTTCCTTCAAACTCATAAAGTTGAATAATTGATTAACAATGTCTTTTTCAAGGGAGTCGTCAGTCGACATTATTAACAGAGTTGACAAGTTTTCATCAACAGAAACACAATAAATCGAGATTTTGTATTTGTTGAATTTGATAAAAAGGAAAATATCGAATTGTATTTGACCTTTATTTTCAGTTATACCAGGACCTTTGTGATACAGCAAAGCAGATCGCCAGAAAATCAGGAGATTTCAAGGTTTATTTGTGTTACCATTCTGACAGAAGGTCATCCAAGTTGAAGCTGACAAGACCAATCAAATTCCTATATCACAGAAATTCTGCCTTATACTACAAGGCTGTCTCATAACAGAAGTTCATGCCTGTTTTACAAAGCTACAACTAGAAAGACAACATTTACCTATGTATATTCTTTGTAAGCACAAGGTTCTGCTCCAAGAGGTTTTTAGTCTATCTCGACCTCACTAGATTGATGATGAGAATTTTCCTCTAGTACATTGGTTCAGCCCTATACCATGTTAAGACCTGTAAGGTTTCAGAAATACATAAATCAGATACTGTGCCATATAAGCTAAAATATCTTTGATTCTGCGAATCTAGAGAACTAAATTTATATGTCTAAATGAACAGCTTCTGTAAAATCAATTATTTTTAAGGGGCTTAGTTTTCGTGGTTTTTCCTTTTTTTCCCATTTTGGTTGAAACTTGATTTCATGGATAAATACAGCACTTTGAATTTACTCACTTTGTGGTCAAAATTAAGAGTATTCACGAAAATTGATTATTCTACAGTAATGTATCGTTTATTTATTATTCTTATTTTAAACATATATATATATATATTTATGATTTTTTAATAATTGATTGAATTAAATACATTTTTTTTATTACAAAATACAAATCCCTATTAAACTGTATTGTACACTGTACGTAAGTATTATGTATTGCTTGAATATATTCAATATTCTATTTGTTGTGAATAATAATTTATAATATTAAAGAGAATAATCCATTATTTTTTGTAATTTGTTTTCTTTTTGATTTGTATACTACTGATGAGTGTTTGGAAATATATTTTTTTCAAAGAAGTATCTTGGTGATTTTTGTCATGTCATTTCAATGTCAGATGAAAAAAGTTTTTTTTAAATAAAATTTGTTCAGTATGGGTTTCTCCCATCTTCAATCTATAAAAGTCGATAGAATAGCATAATAATTCAGACTATAGAACACATCAACTTCAGTGAATTGCTAGAACTGCTTTGGCCTACTTTGAGTGTAATTTCCCATTTATAGACACAATCAAGATTCAGGGTAAAAGGACATACATGGAGGAGAGGGCAAAATGCATAAAACTGTCGTCTCTTTACTTGAAATTTCAGCTTTAACTGTGGTACAATGTAGTAGAGAAGAATAGTAAATCCTTTTTTAGTAAAATGTTAATGGGTGGGAAATGTGATAACAGGTCCAGGTTCCGACACTTCAGTGTGTGATCCCCATTGACTGGCATCTTCAGTCTTACGATCATTGGTGTTGTTGGGACATGACTTTATTTGGTAAACACCAAGAGCTCCATAGGTCTGTAATATAATCATAGTTGCGTCTGGCACTAACCGTTTTCGGATGACTATATTAATAAAGTTAGAACTGTTCTTTTTATCGACAAACAAGCAAATGTACAAGAAAATATAATTGTCATCTACATTCCTATATAAAAACTAGGACAATTTACCTCCTCTCCTGAGAGAAATGGGGGACCAAAGTTCCACAAAATTTATGATTTTGATAAAGAATAAAGACTTTTTGATGACTGACAAATGACAATGTGCTTCGCTTTCAGGTGGCGGGAAGGGTGGGGCTCAATAGGGGAGATGATACAAAATCTTTAAAATCCTACTCCTCCTGTAGGAATGATTGGATTTTGTCCAAATTTGGTCTGAATCTTGATTAGGTGAAGAGGAATCAATTTTGTAAAAACAATGGATGTTTTGCCTCTGGGGCACGGCCTAAAAGAGGAAATAGAGCAAATTATTTAAAATCCTACTTTTGTAGGAATGATTGAATTATGCCCAAATTAGGTGTAAATCAATTTTGTATAAATGGTAGATTTCACCCCTAGGGCAGGAGGAGAGGGGTTCAATAGGGGAAGTGTGTTTGAAAACATCCCATAACCTTGTATAGTATTGCATAAAGAAAACAATCTTGACATAAGAATTAGCTCTGGGATCTAGCCCCACCCCAAGGGACTTTTTTTTTTTTTTTTTTATCTTGCTGTAAGATTTTTTTTTTGTAATTGTTTATTTTTCTGAATTTGATGCAAAATATAACACAAAGAAAAAGAAGAGACATTCACACACACACATCCTCCCTCACACACACATACACACCGTCACACCCAGACCTGCACAAACACACATTCAAATTAATTATTATTTTTATTATCTTCAATTATCACCTACACTCCTCACTATAATCATTGCCATTATCTTGATTATTATATTGTCTATCACATATAACAGTCATCAGCTTCATGCACACATGTATAATGCCATTATCAGATCAACATCATTCGTAACGACAGTCATCCAGAAGAAATTCTCATTTTACTTAATATTCACAAACAATTATAACATACACATTATTTATTCACATACATACATATATACATTGCTCTCATACCTACTGCTCATCACTAAAGGGAGGGGGAAAACAGATGGGCAGACCTGGAACAGACAGACAGCAACAAGAACAGACAAGCAGACAGTTTAGGCACAGACAAAAACAGACACACAAACATACAGCAACAAGAACAGACAAACAGACAGACAGTTTACGCACAGACAACAACAAAAAACAGACAAACAGACAGACACAACCATGGGATGTTGATTTAACTTGATTTAGGTAAATAAGAAAATATGATCAGTCAGCTCTGTCCAGACGTATACTAATGAATAAGAAGATATAGCACAGATATTATATATCAAGTTTGATAAAATTTTCCCATTTTTTCCATTCATTTGTGAATTTTAGCTTATATGTCTCATTTTTGTTGTTAGAAATGTATTTTTGTGTAGAAAAGTGGTCCTGTATGATTTTAACAAGAGAACAGATGTTTAAAGAATTATGCAGACATCTAGTTTTGTATATATAGTGTTTGATAATTAAAATTATTTCATTATTCACTCTAAAACTGGGACTATTGTTTATTATTCCAAACAAAAAAGACTGTTTGTTGATAGAAAAAGGTATAAATAATGCATCAGGAAGTGTCTCCAGAGCTTGTAAAAAATTTTGGACTTCTTGGCATTCCCAAAGAAGATGGGTTATTGATTCTCTTTCAGAATTGCACAGATTACATAAAGGACTGTCAACTAGTTTTGCTTTAAATAGCCAAGGGACTTGGTTTCTTGTTACATCTTTGAAACAGATGAGACATCAACCCTTTAACTATATATAGCAGTGATCCGCATCAAGAGAAAAACACCATCATGATGTAAGCATTGGCCCTTGGGTCTGGCCCCATCCCAAGTGACATAGTTTCCTTATATATGTGAAGCTGTTGAGATCCCCACCCAATAACCATAAATAGCAATGCTGGGGATCAAGAGATAAGCACAATCCTTATGTAACAACTGACCCTAAGGTCTGCCCTTACTCCTAGCTACTCAGTTTCATGATAATATTTTGAAACCCTTGAGATCCCCACTCCAAAACTGTATATGGCAATGTTGGGCATCAAGAGATAAACACATTTATAATGAAGGAACTGGCCCCTGGGTATAGCCCCACCACTCTGAACTTAATTTCTAGGTGATATCTTTGAAACTCTTAAAATCCCACACATACATATATATATAGAGAGAGAATTGCTTGGCATCAAGACACATTTGTTATGCAAGAATTGACAATTGGGTGTGGGTCATATTTTTTCTTTATTTGAGATACCAACCAGACAACCATACAAACTCCGTCAAAAGAATTTACCCGTTTGTCTTGCCCCATCAATGAGGTTAAGTGGCTGAGATTTATTTTGGAAATATTTGAAATGCCAAACTATGGACATGTATAACATTCCTGGGCTTTAAATCAAGATCATGTTCAAAACTGATACAGAAACAATATTTTTGATTGCACCAAAATAAGTATGTGAATTGTATTAATGTCAGACAAATGCAGTACCAAGACATCAGCTTGTTTGGCACTTTGGATCAGGTGAGTTAAAAAAAAACCAAATCAATGATGGTCTTTTCAGATAAAGATTTATGAACGTTTTGACAACTCTTCATGCTATAATTGTTCTGGACAAAATTTATACTGCCAATACATAAATTAATCTTTCTTCCACAAGACCATTAGTACAATGTTAATCACCTTTCCCATGAGACACCTGGTACAATGCAAAAACATCCAAGATGGTATCCACCACAACTTATTGCAATGTCTAAATGTTCATCATGTTTTCCATAAGGCACCTAGTACAAGGTCTAAATGTTTATCAGCTGATTTTTTCAGCATTTTTGTCTAATTACAAGACATATTTTTAATATTCCAACTGGTCCACCATTCAAAGGCCCCTCATGAATCCTTCTTGGTCCAACCGATTCAGAAAACCTAAAAGGCAAGGATGAGAAAAATGACAACCCAAAAATTGTACGGGCAAGATAAATACAAGATAACATAGGTAAACAACCAGTAACAAAGGGTACCAAGGCACCTAAATTTAACAAGAACACAGATTACTGTAAATGTAATAAATGGTTATGTTACCTTTGTGCTGAAGATACAGTGTTAAAATATCATTGCAATAAATCAACGGACACAATTATTTTACCTTTTATCCAGTGACTAATGCATGACGAATGAAGATGATACCTAGGGTAAATCTTTCAAATATACTTCTTTTTAACATCTTATCTCCACTATATGACATGATTTGACTATAAACAATGGGTCTATGTAAAATGAGATACTTACCATGTGGTTCAATGACTTGTATGTACTGTATTTGCAGTCTTGTTGTGATGAAACACTGGGTAGATCACATCTGCTGAAAAAAAAAAATGTATGTTCAAAGCTGATGAACTGGTATTTTCCTTTTAATTCAATGCATGAGCTGAATGTGTGGATTTTTTTTCACGATTTAACATGAGTATCAATTTATGATATTTCATTCTGAATTCTTTCAAATAAGTAAAATAAATGTATACAGTTAGCACATCCCAATCTTTAGATATACAAGTGTTAAGTAACAAAACCTTTATCAACATGAATATTTTTTCATGTCTTCACAATTTGTGGGAGGAATTCTTGTCATGTTTTTCACTTTCTCTACACTACATGCTATGTATTTGACACTAGATTCTGAAAAACCAAAACAAAATTATTTCAATCATGCTTCCTGTTACTCAGCTAAAGTTTAGAGGAAACAACTCACCATAAAAGACAAGTTCACTGTAGGTAATCTTCTGTTAGTGCTGCTGTAGGGGACGTCCTTATCCGACCTCCAGGCACATCATCATAAATACAGGACTCCTGTCAGAGTAATGCCTGGCAAAAATATTAGATTACATTCATTAAAGAATCTGCAGTATAAAATTCAGTTCTTCATTTCTCACAAAAAAATGATTTCAATATGATTTAAAATCACTTTTACATAAATTAAATTAATATTTAAATTTTTTTCTTTGAACATATTGAAAGAATTGACATTATTTTCTTTTTAAATTTCATATGAACTTCTTTTCTTTGAAAATTTTAAGAAATACTAATGTTTTAACTTTCACAATTTTGTTTGAATTATCAAAAAACAAAATTTTGATCACATGAAATGAGTGACAATTTTTCACAACTGACACACAAACCATAGGCAAGTAGAAGTCCTAATAAATGAGTCCCATATAAAAACTCAAGAACAATCATCAATCATAAGCCACACAATCAAAAATTTGCACAAAACATATCAATATTGTTTCCATGGAAATCTTCACTCCATCTGTCTGACCATCCAGGGAGATCCGTTTGTATAGAGTTGTTACTCAAAGGTTACACTCAAAGGTCAAAGGTTACTTCCTGTTACTTCAAAGTATTGAACACTGAAAATAGCAAACAGTTAACAAAACAAGACACTACTTTTAAAAGGAGTGTGGTCACAACATCAATTTACTGACAAAGAAAGAACAGGCCAATTTTTGAGCAAAACTCCCAACACCAAAATAGGGGGGAAATATTCCAATCCCAACCCTTCCTTAACTCCAAGCCACATGTAGGTGAAACAATTTGAATTAAAGTTGACCAAGAACTTTTCGCAAAACAAATTCCAATTTTGTGTTCAGCTAAATTCACAGGACTACAATTCTCATCATGCATACAATTTCCAATTCTCCAAATTTGTTCTTTTTAAAAAACAGGTTTGACGTTAAGATGCACAACTAAACAAAGGTACAATTAGCAGTTCTTTCCAATTCATGTTTGACTTTTCTTTCCAAAATGTGTAACAAAAACAGCCAATCATATATTAGTGAAGATCTTAAACCAAATTTATCACAAATATAATACAAAAGACATGATAAATGAAAGTAAAAGCAAAAGCATCACATTCAATGCCTTCAATAATTCCAAAGAAATACCTGTACTGAACAGACCCCCACAAGTATTAACACCTGTTAATGGGGAAACTGTTACACCTGTGAAATCTTCATGTACTCCTGGAGCATTGAGACCAAACAAAACTGGAAAACTGCACACAAATGTTTGGCACACAGACTTTCCATAAAAACACTGGCCTGCTCAGCAGATATCGTCAACCCTGCTTCCTTGTATGTTGTCAGTTAATCCAAGAGAAATCCCTTCGTCGCAAAATGCCACACACCAACATAGTAATACTGCAAACATCATGTCTCATTTCCAGTACTATGGCATGAAAACCAAACTTACTTATTTTCCATTACTACACAAAGTACTTTATGAATGGTTCACAAAATTTCTTGACAAATATTTTATGCATTTTTGTTTTCCCATCACCTCAACTCATTTGAAAAGGAACTTAATATTTAGCAAATAAAAATCCAATTCATCTGTAATAATTAATAAATTTTCAAGTTGTTTCAAGAGATGAACACCTGCATATACATAGATTCACAGTATTTTGAACAAATACATAGTAAGATCAAACTCCTAGACATAACAATAAAAATTTTCATATTCTACAGAATTTGAAGACAAGATATCCAACTTGTACCTACAGTCAAAAATGAGGAAAGAAAAATAAATTAGGTTCTGCTTCACCAAGCTACTCTACAACAAGTAATAGTTAATCAATTCATAAACATACAGTTACAAGTAATTTTCCTCTTCTAAATAAAATATAGATTGAAATCAAATTTCTATGACACACAAATTTGATCACATTATCTGAAAACTTTTGGAAAAAAGTAATATCCCCAGTATCAGTAATTTTCTCATGAAAAATCTCAGGTACCGGTGAACACAAATTATCTACCAAGGTAAAATGACGACACACAGACCATGTATCGTACTACGAAATTGTGAATCTCCACCAATTGATACACAACATATAAATATTGAAACATAATATCATATGCTTGAAGTACTGCACTTTCCCTTGCATAAATTTGCAGGTAACTTCAAACTCAAATTCCAATGACGTGCACAATATCGGGTATGTCAAGTACCAACTATTTATGAAGAAAAAAATAAAACTCAAACCTATAAACAGTTTTTTTTATTAAATGATGATGACAAAACACAGGACACAATTATTGATAATGCATGATTACATGGAGACCAGAAATGACAAGACAACGACATCAGTAGCACACCCGATACTACATCACAATAAGATGATTCAGAGTCTGTTCTATGCACAACATTAAAATCAGGCTTCAGTATTAGTACAAAAAGTCAATCCATCATCCATGGCTCAATGAATAATATATATGTGGGACCAGAGGTCCAATCCCTTTATAATCCAACTAACATCTCTGTATGTAGTTAAAATGGCATCCTAAAACATCACCTGCCCTGGCCGAGGTCACCACAGAACACTGCTAAAACCCACAAACTACTGATGAACAACTGATGACACATAAATCCCAAACTGCCGACTGGACAATGCCAGTGACCATGGAACACTAAGAGAAACCAGTTTGTGAGTGCTAGCAGTACCGTCATTTAGCGGTAGAGCTTCACATCAATTTCCCGTCCGTCTACTCGGGTCCGGTTCATAGCAGCTGTTAATAGTCAAGGACATATCAATAGTAAAATAGATCTCTGTTATATATACGACAACTATGTAGTTTTACATTTATGATAATCATGCTTGAACTAACATTCAGAATCAAAATGAAGTATGTTTTTTGATAATCCAGTAAACCATTAAATTCAACCAGTTGGTTAATGAAACAGGTTATATCTGTAAGGATACAGATTGCTCTTTGAGCATCTTCAGCGGAGCCAAATCTAACGAGTCCCCAGCCTTGAGATTTACCATTCTCCATCTTAATTTCGGCATACTTCACATCAGCTAAAGGAAAACAATTCAAGAAACCATGATATAAATATGAAGACATTCCAGCCAAAAGTAATAGCTACAGGTGTTGTCAAATCATATAAGCCCTACTATCACGGCTGTTCCTGAATAAAAATATAATCCTGAAATAAATATGTGACAAGGCTGTATGATTTCATAATTTAGAACATAAGCAAAATGGCAGATTAAAAAATATCTTTTCATAGGCACTACTCAACTTGCTGAACTTCCAAAATTTAATATCTAATAGCCAGTGTCAATTAAGTGATATTTCAAATGCCACATGGACTTCACCATCATTTCAGTCTATTTATAAAGTTGAATATCTGCAGCAAACTGTGACTAAAACTGAAGTTTTTATGAAAATATGTGGGGTAGAATTTGACTCACCACATGTCCTAAATTTGTCTCTCAGAGATTGCCATGTGAGTGACCAGGGAAGCTGAAAAACACAACAAAAAACCCCTCAAAAATATTACATTAATTTCACATGGAAAACCTTTTCAACAATAAAACAAAAATACAAATTACAAAGAGGTCAGGTTTCACAGTTGTTTTACATCTTAAACTAACATTCATTTTAGCTAAAACAGTAAGAAAAATTAAACTAGTCTACTTTGAGTTCTAACAATATCAGCATAAGCTGATCCGATCTGGAGACATTTGTGACATTTCAAACAATTTCAGGCAACACAATTCAACTATCTACACTCAACTTACATTTTTCACGACCACTGTACAGTTGTCTGGCCGAGTGCCCAAGTTCCTACCCCCACGATCACCTCTGTCTCCACTGCGGTCACGGTCCCGCTGACTGGATCGGTCAGAAGAGCTGAAGGAGCTACCCATTGAATTGTAGCTATTGCTGCCAATATTGCCTGAGGAACTGCCCATAGAATCCATCATGCCGGTGTTGTAACTACTGCTTCCCATATTGCTGCCCATGTTGCGAAGCTGATCCCCTAGGTTTGTGCCCATACCAGTGTTGGTACCATATCCAGTGTTGCCCATGCCTCCAGACACCATGCTGCTGGAGAAGTTGTCATTCATGCCACCGGACATACCCATGTTGGAGCCTAGGTTACCAGTGCCACCCATGCCTGTGCCCATGCCCATTCCCATGTTACTACTCATGCCTGACCCCATGTTTCCAGACATTCCCATATTTGAGCCCATACCACCCATCCCAGACATCCCAGTGCCCATGCTGCCTCCCATACCAACCATATTATTATCCATGCCACCTCCCATTCCCATACCACCACCCATACCCATGTTACCACCACCCATACCCATATTATTGCCACTCATCCCCATGGACCCCCCGCCCATTCCAAAACCACCCCCGGCTGCAAATAAATTTATGAATAATAATTAAAGAAAAATATCCACTTCATATTACATCCTTATGATTGTGCAATTTGATATATCTATATGAAAACCAACTAGAACACACATTATAAAACTTTGGTCAATCTGAACAAGATTCAATAAATGCAAATGAAACAGGTAGAATTATACAAAACTATGTCTGTGAAAACAAACTCTCAGAGTGAACATTACCAAAAATCATGGAAAAGTGTTTAAAAACATCCTAGCAAGATGTTAAAGTACCAGTTGGTAAATAACATGCCTTGTTCTTTCTTCACTCTGTGATAAAGAATCCACGGAAGCCCCCAATACAGTCTGTGTTCAATGAAGTCAGTACTGACATATCAGTATGCACAGTTTATGTTTTACCTAACTTGTCTCATTGGTGTTTACAAAGCATATATGATATCTTGCCATTAGCTAGTCACTGTAATAAACAGGAGATAAATAAAAAGCTTGACCTATCTGCCGATTCCAACTGACAGGAGGCTTATTGTAGTTCCATTTAGACAAGAGGTTGTATTTGAATTTCTTGAGGTCAATAATTGGTCATTAATCATTTGAACTTTATAAGTTTCAAGGTTTCAAAAAATGTACAAAATTCAGTTAGTACTTACAACTCATCTGTCCAATATTCTGGAGTGGCTGTCCGCCTGCACCAAGACCCATTCCTACAGACTTCAGTCCACCTTTTAAACACAACACCATATTTAGTCATCAACAACCACTGACTATGATGTTTCTAAACATATCTATTCAAAGATGAAAAAAAAAAAAAAAAAGAATGCATTCTTGGCCAAGGGTGCGAAAGAGACATTCAGATCTATTCTTACATCTATCTAAATCACTTGACAAACATTCAGATCTTTTCTTACATCGATCTAAAACGCTTGACAAACATTCAGATCTTTTCTTACATCGATCTAAAACGCTTGACAAACATTCAGATCTTTTCTTACATCGATCTAAAACGCTTGACAAACATTCAGATCTTTTCTTACATCGATCTAAAATGCTTGACAAACATTCAGATCTTTTCTTACATCGATCTAAAACGCTTGACAAACATTCAGATCTTTTCTTACATCGATCTAAAACGCTTGACAAACATTCAGATCTTTTCTTACATCGATCTAAAACGCTTGACAAACATTCAGATCTTTTCTTCTATTAATCAAGGGTGGATCTTTTCCTATATCAATCTAGCGTGCAAAACAAACATCCATATCAACATGCTTTCATATTTCAATAATTGTGTGTAAAGAGTAGACTGGAATGAGAAGTTACTTCTGGAGAGTCGTAGAATTAAAATGTGTGTAAATATACAATATAGGAGCCAGATTAAATAATTAATTCTATATAGCTATTCACATTCCATGAAACTTTACTGAATACAGAAAGATTGCGAAAAGAATATTAACAAATTATGTTTTGACATCTTACTTGGCAGCTGAACTTGTTGAGATGATCTGCCGCCAGAAGAACCACCTGGTGGAGTGTCCATCTTCACTCTCATTGGTCGGTCAAATAAAGTCTGGTTGTTAAACATAGCTGTCAGTTGGTTAGGGATGAAATAAATTGTCAACTAATAAGAAATTGATTAGACAGAATGTAAAGGATAACTGATTAAAAAAAAAAACAAAAAAAAAACCAAGTTTAAGCAAGAGATGCAGGAAGAGCACACCATCTTCACTTGTCCTATAAAAGTTGAATCTTTGACCTGTTTTTCTTTTTCCTCTCATTTGCTCTTAAAAATATATAATTTGAGAATTTTTCTGAAACAATAGAGATAATAACTGTAAATGTTAAACCCAAGATGGTTGCGTAAGCAATTTTGTTTTTCTGATCAGTCTCAAAATGGACCACATACAACTAGTTTAAGGAACAAGTGAAACCTTGAAATAAAATATGAGAATGGTCCATCAAATAACTCTCAAGAAATAGTGGTAACAAACTTTCATTGCCAAAGTCCAACATATCAGCCATTTTTTTCTGAGGTGTTCCAAAGTCAAAAGAGCACACTTAGGACTAATAGGAACAAAATGAAATACAACAGCAATTCATTGTGTGCATCTCAGGAAACAGCCAGGATGGAAGAATGAAGGATCTCAGATGCACTGCAATTTGAACAGTTCAATATCTAATGATGATTGACTGAAAAGATTGATTGATAAGTACAATGGTTCCCAGCACAGCCATGTTTTCAGAGAAATAAACTCTTCTACTTCAGGCACAAGACTTAAAGGGTATAAGCATTCTTACTAGTGTTGGTATCAGTTGAAAATCACAATCCACCATCATAGGCTGATCTCAATCAAACTCCATCGTCACAAGCAGAAAAGCAACAATCAGTAGTAAAATTATCATGATTTATAATGCAATATAGGGATAACAATTTTTCCCCTACATGTTAAATTATCTTATATCTTGCATCAGTAAGTATTTCTTTTGTTTTGTGATATGCCAAAACCTTTTCAGTTGCAACCTTTAGTCATAATGCCAAATGATCTTCTAAGCATATTTTCCAAGGAAGTATACATGCAAGTAATTTTAGTAAATCTAAATATATAACTGGTCTAAATTCTTAATTCTAATCACAAACTTTGCCATTTCTTATTATCAGTGTAAGGATACAGATAGCTTGAAGAGCTTCCATTGGGAACTCGAACACCACAGTTCCTATTCCTCGGCTCTTCCCATCCTTGTCAAGCTTAATCTCTGCCCTCAGTACATTTCCAGCCAGTTTGAATACATCTTTCATTTTCTTCCAGGTAACCTTGTAGTCTAGCTGTAGAAGAAAATACCATTCAGTCATGAATCAATTCCAATACCTGACCACTGTTCAACTGCATACAAATTTGTACTTTCCAGAGATGATCTTCTTGTTACAGGCACTGTGACAATACATCTTACTGATACAGACACTGTGACAATACACCTTACTGATACAGACACTTGGACAATACATCTTACTGATAGACACTGGGACAATACATCTTACTGATACAGACACTTGGACAATACATCTTACTGATACAGACACTGGGACAATACATCTTACTGATACAGACATTGGGACAATAGATCTTACTGATACAGACACTGGGACAATACATCTTACTGATACAGACACTGTGACAATACACTTTACTGATACAGACACTTGGACAATACATCTTACTGATAGACACTGGGACAATACATCTTACTGATACAGACACTGGGACAATACATCTTACTGATACAGACATTGGGACAATAGATCTTACTGATACAGACACTGGGACAATACATCTTACTGATACAGACACTGGGACAATACATCTTACTGATACAGACATTGGGACAATAGATCTTACTGATACAGACACTTGGACAATACATCTTACTGATACAGACACTGGGACAATACATCTTACTGATACAGACACTGGGACAATACATCTTACTGATACAGACACTTGGACAATACATCTTACTGATAGACACTGGGACAATACATCTTACTGATACAGACACTGGGACAATACATTTTACTGATACAGACATTGGGACAATAGATCTTACTGATACAGACACTGGGACAATACATCTTACTGATACAGACACTGGGACAATACATCTTACTGATACAGACATTGGGACAATAGATCTTACTGATACAGACACTTGGACAATACATCTTACTGATACAGACACTGGGACAATACATCTTACTGATACAGACACTGGGACAATACATCTTACTGATACAGATACTGGGACAACAGATCTTACCGATACAGATACTGGGACAATACATCTTACTGATACAGACACTGGGACCACAGACTTTGGTGTTACAGACACTGGGGCCACAATCTTGGTATTACAGACACTGGGACCATAGATCCAAGCATTACTGATTGTTACAAACATTGGGACAAAAGATCCAAGTGTTACCGCATTCACACAATAGATCTATGACACAAACACTGGGATCAAAAATCTAATGTTGCAAACATTGGGACCACAGATCTTGGTGTTACAGACATTTGCACCATAGATCTAAGCGTTACTGATTATTACAAACAATGGGGCCACAGATCAAGGTATTACAGACTCTGGACATAGATCTGTGTTACAGACACTGGGAAAAAAGATCTATTCCAGAGAAACATCTAAACTATAGAAATAATGCAACAGACACTTGGATCATATACTTACGTTGGACACAAACAGTGTATTGGTGACGGGTCCTTCGATTCCCAAGTTGTTCAGAACTTGCTGGCTCACACCCATGTTTCCTCCGCCACCTCCCATATTTCCCATCATGCCTCCACCCATGTTTCCCATCATTCCTGGCCCACTGCCCATCATGCCTGAGCCACCCCCTCCACCACTGCCTCCTCTTGCTGCTCCTATTTGGTTCTGGTCACTCTCCCTCTCCTGATGAGAAACACAACCAAACAGTTGGTATTTAGTTCAATCGAAAAATACACTTCACTTAGAACACGAAAATATAACTTTCTTGCTTAGAACTAAAGTTTGCTATTCATCATCAATTAACATGTATTGAGAATGATATAATCTGATTTCTATTTGTTCAACTGTAAAATTGTTGTTTGTGTTCAGTATTTAAATTAACAGAAAGAAACAAAACACATAACTCAAAAAAGGTGGATGGTACGCCTAAAGATACTACTCTCCATGCACATTTCTTCTCTACAAAATAGCCATTCTTTATCAAACTTAGAAAACTGATAATAATCGACATTCTGTGTTCAATAATCAATCATGACAATGAAACCGCTTCTCACCCAACATATTTTGTATAGACAGTACTGTTACTGTTAAATGTTGGTGTGTACTTGGTCAAACAATTCATTTCACGTTGGCTTTTTTTTCTGTTCCTTATCACATAGTATTAAACTATTCCTAGTTTCCTACCATACTTACTTCTCTTACGACGATGTTTCTGTCCTTCATCTTGTACCGGTGCATAGTATTAAACTATTCCTAGTTTCCTACCATACTTACCTCTCTTACGACGATGTTCCTGTCCTTCATCTTGTACCGGTGCATTACTTCAATTGCTTTCCTTGCTGTGTCTTTATCCTTGAACTCGATTATACTGTAATATTACACACACATATCCTTAACGATGCATACTAACAAGCAAATATAATGGATTTCCACTTTGTATATTCCATTCTCTTTATGCTGATGATGTTTGGACAGTAAACCTTACACATAATTGATACTTTAATATCTAAAATCAACAATTGACTGAAACTAAATAGATATCAAAGATTTAAGGATCATAATGACAATAAAATACATAGCATAAATGCTTAATAAAGAATACGCTACATTCAATATAGAATTCTATCAACTTATTTGCAAAGTCCCCAACCATACTTGTCAATTTTGACAAAAGTTGAATTTCACAACATTACCCAAACGATCAGTCTAACACTACTTTCAAATGTTACACATGAATGAAGATTTCTTTGAAGATTTTAAATTTAAGGAGAAATTAAGCTCTATGAAGTAAGTTTTGTTATATTGTTAATAGTACCAACCCTGCTCCTCTGGACTTTCCGTCTGGGTTCTCCCACATTTCTACATAAGACACTTCTCCAACTGAAACAGATATTTCATTTGCTAGTTTGTTTCCTACTAAAGATCTTCACAGTAGCTCAACTTGGCTGATAACAATTACCAACATAACTGCCTACCCAGCTATAATTATTTAACTATTTCTGTTCACTTTCAATGAAAACAAAGAGTCCCAACGGCTTTGACTGAATGTAGCTTTTTTTAAAATCATATATACATCTTTTTACCGCTTCACAACAGGAATAATCTAACAAATGATTTTCAAGTGACTAAAACCCAAAATGTATTTGTAACCACCTTCTTTTCTGAATATATCTTTGATGTCCTGCCACTTCATTTCATAAGGAACATTGCTGATGATGCAACGTTTGGAAATGAGATTAATGCGTCTTGGTCTGTCCCTGCTGTCTCTTCTTGGTGATCTCGACCCTGAGCGTCTAAGGGGAGAACGTGACCGTGATCTTTCTGGTGACCTATTCAAGTAAACATCAACAGTTATACTATAGTGAGTTGTTCCTATAATATATCATGGACACTAGGTACATCATTTTATCCTAAATGACTCAATGCAATAAATTTGATTTTCATCTACATCAATTGAATTCCGTGTTAAAAATCTGGAGTTTCAATGAAGGTTTGATTCTCAATCTTTCAATGCAAATAATCAAGTGTAAAAAGTTTTCAAGTGAACCAACCAGAATATCTGTCAATATTGAGTATTTTTGTAGGCTTCTGGACCAGTGAAGGCACACAAAATTTGCACTTGTATCTAAAAATTATTATTGTTATTCTCAAACTTTTAATTTCTATGGCTGCTGAATTGTCAAACTAATGTTACAAAATGAATTCAAACATCTTCTGCTGCCAAAACATCTCTAACCCATGTCACATAGAAAATTGAAGCTCATGCTTGATTGCACAAATCATGACAGCGTATTACGAGATGAACCCACAGATGCCTTTTCATTACTTTTTATTCTATTACACATTCATCAACATCACTTCTCATTCGTTGTTTGCTTTGTGTAAATAGGCATGTACTATACTGTGGTTCACAGTCCTCAAGTAAACATCCATCCCCCTCCTCCCCTACTTCCTAAGGGTAACCGATCACTGGAATCGGATGTTCTGTGAAATACAGCTACATGTTATACTAGTTAAATAGCAGGAATCATTTATATATTTAAAAAAAAACAAACTCTGGGACATGGAAACAAGTTCTATTTTGGCCAGTACAACTCATTGTTGTGTAATAGGAGCAGGTAGGTGTGACATGTACATAGTATTACATATGGTCTCTGCCACTCAGCTGATGGAGCATGGTTCTTTGGCTTAGTTGATAGATGGGGACGATTATCACTTCAGAGACCCAGGTTCGATTCCTGGTCGGCTCATCCGACAGGAATGTGTATTTCCCCTCTTCCTTTACAGTTGTAATATGCTTCGATTGAAGAACAATTATTCTTGGACATGTGCGATGCATTTTTACAGATATGCAATGAGTATTTAAGGAAAACACAGATAAAAACGTGGCGGTGCCCAACTTGACCTGCACTTTGTTTTTGTATATGATTCCAACTATTTCTGTACAACATTAGCTTTATTTCACACACTGAACGTCCTAACCAGTGGACTAATTAAAACTCCAATTCCAGTGAATCCCCTGGATTATTTGATTCCGAAAGAGTCGAAATATCGAAATTCTGGAAAATTCAGTGAAAAAATCGGACACTCGCTTTTTAAAAAGCTTTATTCTTATCTAATAATTCAGAAGTTATTAGCCACGCACCCCCCCCCCCCCCTTTTTCCGCAAACACGGAAACGCGACAGCATTTGTGATTGTTACCATTAATAGATAAATTTGTACCTATCGTTGTCCTGGTTGTAACGTTCCGTAGTTCCACCATACCTATCATTCGGACTGCTTTGTTCGTAATTGTCATGCTCATTGGATGACATGTCCATGATTGCTTCTTTTGTGTAGCGGCACTTTCAACAGAGTATGGCGTCGGTCACGTGATTCTGCAAGGTGGGTTGTTGCAAATTGCGGATCCGAAATACAGGGAAGTGGACGAAGGGATAACACGTGTAGTAAAAATACGCTTGGTTTCAAATACGACTTATGTTGGTTATGCTGATACCACATTAACACGATAACTCGTTGAAGCGTATTATTTCTGCTGTTGTTGCCAAACAGGTGTGTGTGGATTTGAATTAGATAACGTCATGTTGATACAAATTTTCAGGCTATAGCCTATTTCATATTTGTGATGTAAATCAGGTTAGATGCTCCCTTGGATAAGTGTGTGTACTTTTAGATATCAAAGCTTTTGTTAATATTTTTTTCTCTCATGCATTTTAGCCTTCCCCATTTACATTTCCTAGGCACCATTGAAAATTGAAATTTCACACACACTTTTTCATTTTGTTATTTCCAAATCATTCAGGTGAAAATTGTTTTTGTCATGCACTGAGTGATTTGTTCATTTATAATGTACCAAAAATGCCTTTGAAATCTTAAGTAAAATTAAGACATGAGAAGTTGTTAAATTTCACAAATTAATCACTCTATATATGGAATCTCAACATTAAATATCAGTTTAACATTTAAAATATCGATAATCCAAATAATCCTATATATAGAGATCAAACCATGGACCTCTGGTTGTATACTAGTCTCCTATATATAGAGTTATATTTCATACCATTAAAGTTTCTATACCATTAATAAGGAGTATTCTATTTATTACATTTTTCTCCACCTTTCAATGATGCCACTTGCTACTATCTGTTTACATAATTATCATTTATTATCATTACTCAGCCGATTATTATCAAGCCAGGTTCACATCTAACATACAAGTCTTCAAATCTTTAAGAAGTAAATAACACATGTAACATTGTTATAGCAGTAACATTTTCTTCCTTTTAAATATGGATATGTTTTTAGTGTCCACTAGAGTTATGCATGGTTCCTGTGATGCACTCTGGGAGAGATAAATATTTTCATGGCAAATGCTTTGATTTGATTGGTCCAAAATGTATGCAATCAAAACTTTAAATTTTTCATTCAGTAAACATATCACAGATATTTTCAGCATAAAACCATATCTTTCACTGGGAGAAATGAAATGAGTTCAATTCATTCTAGCTAACCTAAAGAGGAGTGACATAATAATAGCAAATATTGAACAAAATAGAAAGCATGGAAATATCCTATATAATTACCATAATTAGTGAGGCATGAAGATATTGGATGACTAATGGTTAATTTTAGGATAATGATTTACTGAAGGTATCCATCAATGCCTGGGAAATGGATGACAGTATCCATGGTGATGTGCTCCTTGTAGGAGAAGGCGATTTCTCATTCTCTGTGTCCCTGCTTCACCAGTACTCTAGTGATACACTGCATCATGTGACCACTACAAGCTTAGAGAGTGAAGACTCCATTACTAAACACCAAGCTGCGGGGCAGTGTATCCAACAACTTAGAAAAAATGGTAAGAATTAAGGATCAACAGTCAAACTTTGTTCCCTTGTTGACTTCAAAATTGAAAAAGTTGACATAATTCCTTCTCAAAGCTATTTTCAGCTTTTTAATCTTTCTGGGGGAGGGGGACTTAAGTTATGTGACTTTTAGTTTAAGTTTTTATGATCACACTTACCGGTATGTTTAATTTGAAAAATGTTTATTTGAAAAAAAAAACCTTCATTTTTGGTTTTCAGGTCTGACTGTACTGTTTCAAGTTGATGCTACAAAACTCCATGATAACATCAATTTAAAAGGGAGAGGATTTGACAGAATTATTTTCAACTTTCCTCATGTGGGTGGAAAATCCAACATAAAGAAAAATAGAAAGCTCCTTGAGGACTTCTTCCTGAGGTAATTTGTACAACTTTTATAACTCTATCATATGATATATCCATTGGTTTTACAGTCATTGTTCATTGGCATTGACCTTTCTGGAAGGTCAAATTCTTCAAAACCAATATCATTTCAGAAAGGTCAATGTCACAGTCTGATGAATTTGACCTTTATTTGTATAAACCTATACAAGGTTCAGTGTCTGTTGACATGTGCTGAATTATATTTAGCACTTTTTATTCAAAATTCCTCTGTAATTGCTCAATATGTACATCTCGTATTTACTGGAAAGTGACAACTTTCAGTTCCATGTAAACAGTTGGAGTTTCTGAGAATTATTATGATAAAGTTTTCATAGTTCTGTCTGATACTTATATAGCTACCAGCATTTATTTGTTTTCTTTTTTCTTTTTTTTAGTGCTTCAAATGTGTTGAAGGAAAATGGTAAAATTTTGGTGACATTGTGCAAAGGTCAAGGCGGGTCACCAGCAGATAAACCAATGAGAGCTTGGCATAACAGTTGGCAAGTGATTTCTATGGCAGCCAACGCTGGATTCATTCTGAGAAGAGCTGTACCATTTCAGACAGGCAGTTATAAGCAGTACAATAGTACCGGGTTCAGGTTGGTGACTAGCTTGTCAGTAATAAAACAACACTTAAAAACTGCTGAAAGTATACAAATAGAATTCAGATAAGGGACTTATATTATGGTATTAACTTGTTTTCATAAGGATTGTGTGTTAGCTTTCTTCTGTTTAGTAAATGAAATTAATTCATATGTTTGATGTGAATGTATTGCTGGTATGAACTTACTTCTAAGCAAGCGGTAAGAATTTTGCATAGAGAATATAAGATCTTCAGCTTGATTGCAGCAAATAGGGTTATTTTCAATTACTCTTTTCTATTCCAGAAATATGAAAGTTATGCTAACTAAAATCAGAATTTAATTTGTTTTTCCTTTTGGCTCTTGTCACTCAAAGGTTAGTTAGAGTTAACCATTAGTTAGTGAAAAAAATTCAAATTGAACTGAATTCACAGAACAAATCCGAAATGAAGGCCTAATTAACACTCCAAATATATATCAATCTGACCTGTCTCAACAAACCAACAGTTGTAAAATGATAAAAAAATGTGCCAAATTTTCTTTATTTCATGTTTGAAAATTTTCACTAACCATTGATTATCTCTAACAAGTGTTTGAACGACCAGGTCCTGAGGGTCATAGTTCAATGGCTAATTTGGTTTGGTCAGTCATTTACTGGGTACATGTACTTGGTTCACCAAGGGTTTGATTATAAATTATTTATGGACCATAGATCCATTTGGGAATACAATATTGTGTCTCTTTGAAATAGTGCTTGTGAGGTAGGGATGTATATTATTACATGCTGTTCACTTATCAGGAAACTAGCTTATAATCTTAAAACTTGATTTGCAGAAGTCAAGATAAAGGATTCCACACTGAGAGGGCAATAACCCATGTTTTTGAGAAGGCGGAGATAGTCCCTGTGCCAGATCAGAAATCTCTAAGGCATCATTTGTCTGACAAAGTCAACAGGTAGATACTTATCTTTATGGTGGTTAGAGGACATGTAAAAATTTGGAAGGTACATGTTATGTTTATAACACAATATTTACATTAGACTGTTTGTAAAGCTGAACAATCAAACACAACTTCACTAACCTAGATGAAACATCATTAAACAAAACAAATCTATGAAACATATCCTGGTTAAAAAGAGCACACTTTCACTATTTCTGACTGTAAATTCTGACCAGGGAACTATTTCACTATTTCAGACAATAAATTCTGACCAGTGCACTATTTAACTATTTTAGACAATAAATCCTGTCCAGGGCACTATTTCACTATTTCAGACAATAAATCCTGACCAGAGAACTATTTCACTATTTCAGACAATAAATCCTGACCAGAGAACTATTTCACTATTTCAGACAATAAATTCTGACCAGGGAACTATATCACAACATTAGACAAAACACCTGACCAGTGCACCATTACATTATTTCAGACAAAAACTTCACCTGGACATCATTATTTGAACAAAAACATTTCACACCAAATACTTGGTCATATCACTGGTTCACAATTTAGATTACCCAAATGGATTTGTTTTGTGCTGTCGGCCTCCGGGCATTGATCACTTCTGTCATACATTTTTATCAACAACTTGTAAGAGAATTTACCATTAACTTTGATCAGTCTTTATTCACTATGGCTTCTTTTGAAAGGTGGGTGAGAAGATATGAAAGAAGGTGAAGGGATGGAGGTTTGGTTGGTGCAATAGATAGCACGCAATGAGCCACCAACATGATGCAATCACCAAGTGAAGTGAAGCATATCATGAAAATTTTTACCTATTCATATTACCTTAGGTCCACTGGTCTTTCCATAAACAATTCCTTTTATTGCAATTTCTTGAGATCTTTCTCAAAATTAATATGCAGGTTCCCCTTTGTTCTTAGTTGTTCTTGTTTGATTTTGGGATTGATCAGAAAAAAACAAAAAAGGTTGATAGCCGACCATCTTCAATTTTGACTATGAAAGTTTGTTATCGCTATTCTTTCAAAAGCTCTAGTAGGTTCCCCTTGATCACTAGTTTTAGTGGCCATCTTGGATTTTGACAATGGAAGTTGGTTGTTGCTTTTTCTCAAATTCCATATGAATATTGTTTTGGTCCATGGTTGTGCTTATTTGATTTTGGAAGTGAACAGAAAAAAACAATTATGAGATATATGGGGGGGGGGGGGGGGGGGGGGGGAGTGAAAAAAGGATATTTATCAAACATTTAAAGAACAAATAAAGGTCAGACAATAATGGGTGCCAAGATCCCTCTTGTATCTCTTGTGTTGAATGTAGTAAATTACATTAACAGGTAAAAATATTGTTGTTACGATGAAGATTGTTTTATTCCATGTGGTCCAAGTCCAAGTCAAACCATACCACAAAGATGGATATTGAGATGGCAAAAACGATAACATGTTTGGATTGACTCAGGTGATTTTTTATTTTCAGGAGGCTACATGAGGAACCTGGCCACCCTGTATTTGAGGTGAGGAGACAACTAGAAGAGAACCTTGTTACATGTGATGACTTCATCAAGGTGGTTGATGTGGGAACCCCTATCTTGAGGCGACCATTGGAAAAGTCGGTGATATCACCTGTGTTATCACTAACACAGAATGTGGAATTACTTCACATATCAGATTCAAAGGCATCTATCGGTGGAGATAATCCTTCTTCCATAATATCTGAAGCAGCAGCAGACAACAAAACATCACAATGCGATGATGCTTTGGTGCATTATCACAAATCAACACTCCAGGACGACTCGTCATCGCTTGACCTAACTGTTTCGTGTGGCGATACACTCACATGTGACATGCACACAAGTCAATGTTTTTATCTGGGCTACAGAAATCAGCTCACTTGTTATGGTCCTATTATAGGAGATCAGCCAATAAAACCACGGAATGAAGAACTGAAACAGTCTGATTTAATGTCAGACATTAAAGAGGTAGTCACAGATTTAGAGGAAGACACAGAGACAGGAAAACAACCAAGAGAAACATATGTCTCTACAGATACCCAACCTAGCAACACTGGAATATCAGAAAACCATGAACATCTGCGAATATCAATGCTGGAACATTTAACTGACTTGATACACCATATGAAACTTAGTCCAAAACAGATTGTCATAGCAACGGGAGATGTATATAGGCGTGGCGAGATCAGCCCCAATATACAACCATGGTCAGTGGAAATGATTTGTGTTTTGCCAGAACTTTCTGATGAAAATAAAGAGGAAGAAACCACAGAATGCATTCCTCTAAATTTTGAATCAGTTTTTCTTCATGCCGATCAAATGTGTGCAAAAGTAGCTTCAGCACTCGGATCATGTGGAAAGATTCAACTAGAGAGAACTAGAAAACTGGCTACATCATCTACAGATGTGTATTCCGTTGGCAGAGTAAATATGAGTGTTCTTGGTGATGAAGGACAGACATGGAAGTCCATCGGCTCAATTTTGATATTAAGCCCAAAACAAAATCCTCCACGAGTTATTCTGGTGTTTGATGTCATCAAAATGTGTAAATGTTTGTATCAAATTCCAAACGAGTTGCTTCTCTGGTCAGCTGATAGAAGGGTAACCCAACAGTTCAAAAGGAAAGATTGTGATTGGCCAATATTTGAAACTGTTAGTTTATATCCAATGACATTTACTTTTGACATGAGTTTCTGGGTGAAACCTGAGGGAGAATTTGATACCCTGCTATACCTTGACATCATCAGGAGTGTCGCAGGCGATCAGATATTATCAGTACAATTATTAGAAATGTATGAGGATGTAGAGACAAACAGGCCTAGTCGACGTCATAGTCGGTGTTACAGATTGATCTTCATGTCACATGATCGAGTGTTGTCATACAACACTTCCTGGCAATTACAGAGCATGATACGACTGGAGGTGGCTCGGATTATGGATGTTGAGCTGAGATAATAACTAATGCAGATTTAATTTTGGTCTTGAAGGAGATGATATTGCAACACTATAACATTTTCCTTTTTTGTTTTATCAGTCAATGAATAAAAAACATTCATATTTCCTTGAAAGGTAGTTTTGCGTTTGTCCAATACCTTGTAATACAGAACAAATCCCAATAAGTTTATATTCCCCAAAACCTTTCATCTGTTTTTCACTTAACCCCAGTGATGTTGAACCAATGACATGTCAAAAATCACAATTTCTAAAGAGTATCCAACTGCAATAGCTACTTTTATTTTGGTGAATGTAAAGGTCAACAGGTGATTGTTGCAGTTATATACATGATACTCCATCAAAAAAGTAATTTTGTAGATTTTCCAAATGGTTACAATATATTGTCACACAACACCACACATGGTACATTGTGTATTTGATTGTCCAGTACTCCGTTTATTTGTATATCCTATTGTTACAAAGTCAGCTCCCTTAGATTTCCTCTGTCCCTTGTCTGTTCTTACTCATATCTGTCTGCTGCCTTTTCCCACTCTCTCTAGCTTTTGAACAACAACCTATACTTGAAATTACTGTTCTTTGTAACGCCCCTTTGTGGTTGAGTTTACGTCAGTCCAGTGTTATAAGACTTTTGACCAAAGCTCTGCTCTCTATGAATACACACCATTTTAAAGTTACCATTATCCCACCTCATAATGAACCAGACTGATAACCACAGCAAACAAACAAGCATGCAAACAGACAAAGATCCCTTTAACAGACGAAAACAAAAAATCAAAAAAGATTTATATATGTCTTATAAATGATTTATTTTTAAAACCTTCCATACAAGTACTATTAAAAACATCATCAAAACTTTTTATAGATCACTTTGTTTTATATACTGTGAATATTAACAATACAGACAAATAAATGATGTTAGAAGCTAAAACAAAAGTTCTGGACAGTAACTATGGGTACTGTATATCAAAGTACAAATTACTTTAGTACAAAGTTCTGTTACATGTCAGACCAAATGATCTTTTTCTCCACTACTGCAAGTTGCAGTAAAATCTGTATTTACTTACGTACTTCAACGATGAATGACCAATAGTTAAGAGGATATCAATTCTTGTTTAATTTCAATACTTCTTCATTAAGTAGAGAAAAACAGATACACAGGTTACCGTAAGAAATGTCAACAAAGAGGAAATATGTATTTAAATCAGACAAGAGGCCAAAGGATCTGTATCTCTCACACTGTATTCATTGCTTTTCACAAATACATTATCATTGCAAATCATTAGCATTCAAAGTTTTGAGAAGTAGTCTTTTGATGGTTTCACGAATTTGGCCTATGATTCTTTGAATATGGGTCAAGGTTCTTTATTTTTGTTAACTTTGTTGGTCCTCATCCTGAAACCTAACAAATGAATATAATGACACCAGGCCTTTGTTGTTTGAAGAGTTTAACACATCTGACCCATGTAACCTTGAATACATGTCAATATCATTTCTTTTTCTTAACTTTATTAGACATATACCAAGGCATCTACCTAGCAAATATCACCATTCAAGGCCTTTCAATTAGTGATCAGAAGCTCCTTGAAGGATTGAAGCTCTGCGACCTTGAATATTGGTCAAGGTTACTTCTTTTCACAACTTTGTTGGACTTCATTAAAGGAACATTTTAGCTAAATTTCACCATTATAGGCCTTTTGGTTCTTAAGAAGTCATCACTGCAGGTTTTAACATCTGTGGCCTTGAATGTGGATCAAGGTTATTTTTTTCTGCAAACTTTGTCGGGCTTCATCCCAAGAAACTTCAGCCATGTATCATGATTAAAGGTTTTTTTATTATTGAGAAGATGACATTTAAAAGAAGCTTATAAATGAAGAGAAATTGTAAAAAAAAATGTAATTACCATATTAAATATCTTAATAGACTTTGTAACAAGGCTCCTCATTATCTTGTTGTGTTGTTATTCTGACAAAATCTTGCTTGAAGATTCAGTAGGAACATTTATAACATGTGGTTATGTCACTTGGGAGTGCAATTCCAACCATATCTCTGGTAAATAATATTTATTACTGGTGAGCTTATTTATAGTATGAAGACAACATATATTTTATCCCTAGCTTGTAGACCAGGCAGTCAGCATATTTCTGTTAGGGAGTTCTTGCATTCTTCCAATAATGACATATTCAGATTGAATTGCTGTAAGATATTTACAAAGTTTGTTACACAGAAGCCTAAAGGGTCTTATCCCTTTTTCCCTTTTTTCCAGAAGAAATGAGGTAAACTCTCAAGTGTCAGCAGTGTACTCTGGTCTAATGTGTTAAATAACACAATAGCAATCTTTAATAACACAATCTTATCTATACAGGATCACAGGTCAACTTTCATCCGAGTCACTATCATCAGCAAACTCTTTGTCAAAGTCTTCTTTAGATATCTGAAATACAAAAAATATGTAATTGTAAGTAAAGCAAAGATTTGTAATTTTGAAGCAATGTTAGACAAATACCATATGTGTTAAATGTTAATGAATGTCTTAGCTTTCAAGTAGCAATCACATAGAAGATTACACCGAAAGACACACAAGTGAATAACATCTTTAAGTACAAAGTAAAATATGATGGAGTAGAGCCAAACAATGACTTAAATTGAATCATACAGCTGCTTCATCCTTCTAAGACTTGTCACTGATGCTAAGGACCAAAACATTAAACCTAGGAGATGACTGAAAAAATCCAAAGTGATCAAAAGAAATGTAAAAATCTAGATGGGGAGGGGCACTAACCCCTTAATTACAATATATTTTACATATTTGCTAGCAAAGCATACAAATGTCTTTAAAGGAAATATTTGATGATCAACATTAAAAAGCACTTGTTGGTCATTCTACAGAATAAGATTAAATATGGGTTGGCTTATTACCAGAAAAAGGTTTACTTAGTGCATAAATAAATGGGCAAATGACATCACTGCAAAATTCAAGGAAACAAGGTAGAAAGGAAAGATAAAACTTCAATATGTTTGCAGAAACGATCAATGAAAACATTAACACAAATTAGTGTTGGCTGGATCTGACATCAACACTCTGATTTAAACTTCAACTTACATTCTTGCATACATGCATTCAACTTACCTTTCCCTTTTTTAGTTTCTTCATCAATTTCAAGTCCTTGTCAATATCATCAATGTCTTCCTCTGATATCTCTTGCTTGCGTTTACCCAATTTCTCTTTACGTTTCTTTTTCCTGTCTTTACGGTCTTTGTGTTGAGACCATGACTTTGTCTGCAAAGGTTTTTTAGGTTTTCCCTTTTTCACAATTTCTCCATTTTTCATTTGGTCCTGTCTCATTTTCTCTTTGGCTTTATCTCTGAAGGTGAAAATTTAACATGTAATTATATTCAGTGTTTCTAAAACTGATATAAAACATCAAAATCACTTTACTCAGCATCAAGTTCAGTTCTAAGTTCTTTAGATTTCAAATAAGAGGCTCAAGGGGCCTGCAATTCTCACCTGGTATTCAATGCTTTTCATAAGTTCATTTACATTTCACATCATGGCATATAACCTGACAAATTTAACTAACATTGAGGACCCTGAGGGAGATCAGCCTTTGGCTAAAACTTGTACATGCTCGATAAATAAACTTATCATTTTGGCATTTTATATATTTAATGAAAATGAAACTCTAAATCTAGTAAGGTCATGATACTCAAAACATCATTCACTTTGTAAACTTTGCCTAGCAACATCACAGAAATCTTCTAATTACCAAAACTTTAGGCCTAGGTCAGTTGGAAAAAGCAGTTTGAAATTTTAACACATATGACATTGGAGACCTTGATTATCTGCTCTTCAGGTGGTGCAGTGATAACACACTAGACTTTCACCTAGATATCCATGATTTGATTTGCCAAATGGTCCTGAAATGGTATGAATATTTTGGGTATTACCAATGGGGCCACCTGCCTGACTACGTAGGTTTTCACTTGTTTCTTGTTAAAGTAAGACCCCTCCCACACTTTCATATCCAGGTCAATAATTTCTTTCACAACTGTTGTAAAATAATTTAAGTTTAGATTTTATTGAACTATCAATATCATTTTACTCCCAATGATATAACTGCCTACAGGGCAACAGATACTGACTTGTAAGGTATGGTCATCCAGTCTACATCTGGGGCAATGAAGTTTGTCAGCACTTTTCCTTTCAATTCTGGCATTTTAGGGACACGAACCAGTCCAAAACCAGTTGCCAGTCTACCAAAGTCTAGGTCTTTCACTCTAAAGATCATGTTGCACTCATGTTTAACATAAGACTGCACACAAGACACATATGCTTTGGCTGCTTTGTCCATCATGGCCCGGTCTTTCATGGACATTTTCTGAAGTTTTGGGAGGTGATTCTGAACACTGTCTGCTTTTTCTATCATCTTTAAAGGTGCTTTCTGATTAATTTCAATAAATTTAACATAAGCATCTTCAGTTGGTAACAGAAATATAAGAGCTGTCCCTTTATTGCCGATTCTTGCTGTACGTCCACATCTGTGGATAAAGGAGTTTGCTGAACTAGGTGGATCATATTGAACAACCCAATCAACTTCTGGGATATCCACACCCCTGGCCATGACATCTGTACACAAGAGGGCACCACTTTCCAAGGTTCTGAATCTGGAGAATATCTTGTTCCTCTTTTTCTTCATTTTGCCATGTATGGAGAGGATCTAATTAGAAATAACAGATGGATAAAACATTCAGATAGGAAACTAAAGACATTATGTTGTGATATTGATATGTTAAATTTCAGTAATTAAAATTTGGTCGTTATCATTAGTAAGATACGTAACCGTTCTTTAGTTAAATATGGTACATGTTATAGTATATACAATACATCTGCATGTATTTTCATATTTAAAGACCACTGATGCCATCTAAATTAGTTGAAATACAGACACATAATTAAAAAATGTCCATAAATATTTTAGCGTTCATTGTTTTCCAGTAATGATCATTTCAAATTGTTCAATCTCTAGCATACTTAATGTAAGAAATTAAATGTTTTCCATTACTGCATCATTCAAAGAATAGTAAAATACCTGAAGCATTGATCTAATATTTCAGAATTGATATCAGTATAAAGTGAAACTGGCATGACCTGTCAAGTGATTTACCGTATTAAGAGTGTATTGCTAAAATGATATAAACAAACTCACCTGAGATTTTTTCAAGATATGCTGTATGGCTTTAGAAAAATAGTCAACACCAGCACATGTGCTGAAAAACACCAAAATTTTGAGTTCCCTGTTAATGTGTAGGAAGTGAATGAGTTGGTTAAACTTTTCGTCACTGTCCAGTATCATGTACTGGTTTTCTAAAGATGCTGGTGTCCTTCTTATGCCACTTGAGTCAGAGCTCTCTCTTTTTTCCTTTACGTTAATCCGCACTGGATTTCTCATCCCCGCCCTGATAAGTTTTTCTACCTCATCTGTTTGGGTAGCAGAAAACAAGCCTGTCCGACGCTGTTTTGGTAGAAAGCTCAGAATTGTGTTTATGCTAGCTTCAAAACCCATTTCTAACAAACGATCTGCTTCATCCAACACAAGAATTTCTAGAGATTTGACACTGGCAGCAAGATTACATCCATCCCATTTTTTCTCTAAAAGAGACTCAAATCTTCCGGGTGTAGCAACCACAATGTGACCTACAATATACAGAAGAAAAAAAAAGAGAAAACAACAAACAATGACACCACATGTACTTTTGATATTTTGTATAACCCGATAACTTTAAAACAATTTATTTTTCTCCATCAACGGCATGTAATAAAACGTTAGCAAAGTATATCATCAAACAAAAAGCAAGAGTCCTTGATGTAAATTAATCATCGAGAACCAAAGCTATATATATCTATGGAAATGCAATCATTTCGTTTCATATATTTCGATAATGAGGGAAAACGGCTGAATGTACCTCTAATATTTTACAGATGACAGTTTAATATGAAATTGAATCTTACCTCCGTTTGACTTAAACTTATTGACATCACTGTGTAGGTTTTCGCCACCAATAAATAAAATAGAAGCTACGCCATCGTGGTGTTCAAGAAAATGGTCAATGACCTCTTTGATTTGGAAGGCTAGTTCTCTCGTAGGTGTTAGGATTATAGAAAATATCTCTTGTTTCTTCAGTTTTCCCGTTTCAGTCGTGTGTTTATCAAGTTTCTCAAGAATCGGAATAAGAAAAGCTAACGTTTTGCCACTACCAGTAACTGCCTCAGCTGCAACATCCTTGTTGCCAATAAAAAGTGGTATACATGCCGCTTGAACAGGTGTAGCCTTCACGAATTTTAGCTTTTTCAGTGTATTTAGGGTAGAATCACAAAGTGTAACTGGTAAATCCTCCCACGTGGGTTCCATGTTTGTTATTGGTATCGAGTCAGTAAATATTGCAAAATGAAAAAAACATAAGGATATAATACGGATTGCTCTACTATTTACTCATAAAGGTGCAGATCTCCAAAGCAACAACGTACAGATATATCTTTATATAAGTAGTTAATCCGTTTCTAATACTACAATAAATTCAAAAACATAATTTAACTTGATTTCTGAATAAGAAAAATTCTGAAATATTAACTTAATTTTGTGGCCACGCTTTTATTACCTTCAAAATGAAGAGTTCGGCTTTGTTTGCGAGCATCCACCTTTCCACTAGAGCTGAGAGTTGAGTCTATCATTCCATGAAGTAGATGTCGTTTGGAATGTGTTAGGTACCTTTAACGTAAGTTGAATTGGTTGCATTTTCAAAGATTATAATTTATGAGCAAAAAAAAGCATCGTTTCACGACTTGCATGTTTGCACCGGTAATGCACGCTTTGTTGAGAATATGATTTGTTCTGCAATATTTGGTGTAGAGAGGCTCAGGAACTTTAAGTTTATGGTCACTTACAGACCACTTCTTCACTGAAGATTTTTCCTAAGCACGTTTTGAAAGATGACTTGGAAACTTACTGTTATTTTTTTTAGAATTATTTACAAGAACACCATTTTTTTACCGGGAAAATCAGAGTAGTTTCCCCTTGGTCATCAATGACGCTTTCATGTGTATGGTGATGTGAAGTCTTGTGTTATAAAAGGGTAAATAAAATTTCAATGGATATGATAATAGTGTTGATAATTAACTGCACAACGAAAACAATTATAAACATTCCCCCAATATTAAGGAAAAGTCCGTACCATCTTCTTTCTTTAAAAAAAAAAGATAGTAGCAACATTATTACATTTTTTTTCAAATTAGTAAGGGATATATAATCAAATTGATAAAAAGAAATCTAATTATAATTGGTATGCAGCTTTGTTATGTTCTGATTTATTTTCTTGTTCTATAAATATTTAATGTTTGGGAGACCATGTTCAATGAAAAAAAATAGAATGTCAGAATAGATCAAATTAAAAGCTGGCTTAATCTTACAGTAAGAGAAGTGTCTGGTGTCTTTGTCTAACAATGTAGTATAGAAGAAGTATTTAATTGTGATAGAATTGTTGTTTTGTTTACAAAAAGATGTACTTTCTGCATGATAGTCAATCAAAACAGTTACTTTCATGTAATTAGTTTCTTGATTAATTTCAACTTCAATAATTTTTTTAACCCATCCTTCTTTGAGTCTATCAGGGTTTTCCATAATTTTGTTAGTAGTAGGCTATGTAGTGAAAGTAGGAGGCTGGCCTGCCGTGTACGTGTAGTTGTGTACGGAACATTACGGAACTGGATTGGTGTAGGCGGCCAAATGGTCAAAGTAGCCGGTCAAATTGGCCGGCAACTGGCTCTTATGGAAAACTCTGGTCTATGTTCATTCCATGAAATTTAAGATTATTCAAGTATTTCTACATCTGAAATATAGTTCCAGTTTTCTGCACAGACATCTTACTGCATTTTGTATCTATTAAAACCATATAACAGTTATCCAAGTGAATTTTTAAATTAACCATATGAATTAAATCATTTCTTTGAGATGATGAAAAATGTTTTCACTGAAGGAGGATCTTGCTTACAATTTTGAAATCTTAGAAAAAAATATTTGCATTAAAACTTTGTGAATAAATTTACCTTCATTTACATGAGAGTTACATTTATTAAGTGACAAAGGGAAGTAAATGAACAGTACATGCATTAGTCCAAACTTGAAAGATGATTAGCAGATTTCTTTTTGAAGTAAATGTATACATGGTTATCATTTACCAACAAGTCTACATACTTGTACTTGTTGGAAGCTGACAGATATTACTATTAATAATTTTAATGAAATTGTATCGGTCTCAAGGTAACAAACTTTTGTTAGACTTTGCCCATGGAGAAAACAATTCACAAATAGCATGGGTTTAAATGACTAGCTACATAATGGTATTACAGTAATAGTAAACAGATATCATGGTGACATTGTGTTAATTTTTGTGTTGACATGTATATCTTTTAATATGTATGCTTTTAGATGAATATTTTTTTATTTCAGCTACTAGATTATACTTACAAGTTCAGTAACTAGCAATAGTTGTGGAATATCATACTTATTAACAAGCAATAGTTGTAAAAAAAATATACTTATAAACACTAATAAGCTTGCCTTAGAAAAAATACATGTAAAATTATTTGACCTCAAGTGAACCCTACAACCATGTTGCTGAATTCATAGCTTGACATTAAATAGTATACCAAGGTACACCTTTTATCACATTTCTGTCTTGTCTATGCATTGTACAGGGGTTTCTTTTATCATCATGCTGTAAATAAAATGGTTGCCCGTAAAAAGACCAAAAGAAAGTCATCATGGTTCACGTCAGGAAATCAACTCTCTAAAAAGAAAATGGAAGATGAGACAGCACAAAATATTGTAAAGATGAAGGAAGATGAAGCTTGTTGTATCATCGATGACAGTGATGTGACTATGGAGGGAGATGGTGAGTCACACCTGTGTATCAGACTGCTTTCAATGTCATTGCTGATCAATCTTCAGTAATAGAGCCAGTCCTCAAAGTTTATAATGCTAATGTATATTATAATATATCATTAATGTATAATTATATTTGAAGTAAGATTCCCATGCATTCTGTTGGCACATGTAGTTTTATATAATCATCTAATAAAGAAATTAGATTTACAGCCTAGTGACTGGTTTTCATGTATATACGATAAAAAAACCATTGCTTTCTTGCCAGGCCCCCAGCCTATAACATAATGAAAAAGGATCTGCTGTAGCCACCTGTTGCTAGCTATGTACTGTCTGTCTTGCTGTCCAATAGCTGCTTGTTGTCATGTATGCTAGTTTTTGGTAGAAATATGAATGTATTCTGTATCCCTTTAGCATTTATTTAAGACAGTATGTTGTTGTAATGGTTCTGTGTTTATGTGCGATGGATGTTGCAGTAGCTTATATGTGTTGTGTTTCTGTTAATTACTGTATACTGGGAAATTTTTGCCCTTGTAACAAGTTGTTTAATTTTCACCCAGGAACAGGGACGTCAAATTTAAGATAAGTGCAACAATTGGTTACAGTTATGTAACCCTTTCATGTAATCCACAGAGGGCAAAATGAACATGAGGTGAAATTGTATAATGGTATCCCAGTTCTGCATCCCCAAAATAATATGTTTAGCCATGTCTGAGTCATGAAGTTCATAATACTTGCATTAACAATAACAAAACACAAATCTTTGTAGATCTTGTTTCTGGAAAACGACTCTAAGTAACTCTTTACTCACAAAGACATGAAACACACTAATAATGAATTACAAATGTGATGAATTTTAGTAATCCTTTTTCGTATCAACCTATGCTATCATTCAAAATATTTTCATTTGCTGTTATAAAATGGCTGAATTAATTCTACATTTATGAGCCATTAAACACGAGCTTGATGTTGTTTAATATATATTGTACTAGTTTGTGTGTATGTCTTAGAAATATTGGATGCTTTGCTTGACATGAAAACTTGTTGTTTCCGACAAAGATGTATCTTTGCTGTATGAGCAATTTTTTTTCACATTACAATGATTTTGTTTTCAGCATGCTAGTTGATAGGTTTATGAGGAGGATAAACTTTCTGACTTTAAAAATATGAAGATTAAGATATGAAGATTGTATAGGCATTATACAACTGAAGCTGATAATCCAGCAAACTCTTGTCTTGTATAAACCACATAAGACAGTTGATAGAGATCACAAAGTAACTGTCAACACTCATTCAGGTTGGACCAATCTTAGTATTGTGAAAGAGTGATCCAACTGGTAACATTGTTGCTATGGCAAAAAGTTACTGTGTAGTGCAAGGGTGTAGGAATTCCAGTGGAATTCTGAGGAAAAATCAAAAAGGAACTTGTGATGAACTCAAAGGTCAGACAAAGGAGAGTTGTCCATGTCCTGCCCCTCAGCCACTGTTCCCCTTTCCTCAGGATGAAAGCAAGCGTAAAACATGGATGAAGAAAGTCAAATTGGCTGAAGAAATGTTCAACACTAGGTTGAGGGTGAGTGAAGAAAACAAGTTAAAATTCATTATAACAAAGTTACTTTCTCCAAAGTAGTTCAAATGTCATGATTGACACAAAAACATATCCAGTATCAAAATGTATGTTCTGTATGAAATTTTAAATTTTGTTTGTTAAAAATTATTTTACTATATTCCATATACCGGTACTCAAGAAGACTTTAATGAAACTTGTTATTTGTCAATGATATGGTTATTTTTATAGACAGTATACCATTAAGCATATAAATGAATACAAAACAGGCCAAGGTAGAGGTTGGTTTCTTTATAATATTTTCAAACTTTCTTCACAAACTTAGATTTAGATATTAACTGGTTGGTCCATAACAGGTGTGTGCTGTGCACTTCCGAGACAAGAAGCCAACAGAAGAAAACCCTGATCCAGAATTAGACTTGGATTTCAATGTGAATTCACATTCAGAACTTGTGACAAATGGTAAGCAGTTATAATCATTTAGCTCAGAATTCATTTTTGTGCAGAAGTAAAGTATTTGAAGATTGGGGTTTGCACTTTGTGTTTGATAGAGACAACTGACAGTTCAACATATATACCTATATATTGTCTTCTGTAAGGAAATGCTTGTTAGGTCTGTGATATCTGAGCATGAAGTAAGGGATCATTGTTGGAAAGACTTCAGATGTAACATGATATTTCATTGGTCAATAGAAAAAACATTGTGACAGTACAACATCAATGTACCTTCCACAAATTTTTCAATTCTAATATCTAGCCCAGATAACAATTGTCAAAAATGACACCAGGAACAATAGCCTTACTTTGGAAGGTCCCCAGATTTGGAATTTCACTGACATCGCAAATCCTTTACACATTGTCAGTAAAACTCAATTTGTGACTGTATTATCACCAAATTTCAAAACACAATAGGATTATCCACTAATTAATGCTCAGCCCCATATAGTGAGAGTTTTGGTACAATTAGAATACGTTTATTGAAGTGCTGATATATTGATACAGTAAATGTTTTAGTTATGGCTGTCATGAAAAACTTATATAAGTATGTAAACTTTTGTGACGGTATAGTTATTTGGTAACACACTGTTCTGAAAAAATATGATTTAACATAACAAGACGTATTTGTGTTGTTGTTATTGTTTTTATCTATTTTTGTATTCAAGGTTCCCAGCACCATAAACATCATCAGAAGAACCTGCAGCTATTCTGTCGACTCTGTGGAAATAATGAAGGAGTCGTTACTAAATCCTGTAGGGCATATCCAAAGTATAAATTTCAGCAGGATATATTTAAATCTCTAGCCATCGATGTCACACAAGATTCCTGTTTTATTTACCCCAGAAATATTTGTTATGTCTGTCGCGCAAAATTAAGTGCATGGAAGTCTGGCGTGCAAAAAGGCCGTTCTATTGATATACAGATACAACCAGCAAAATTTGTTCCACATGATGAGACAACTAAATGCCTTGTGTGCTTGAACCAGTCTCTCAGAACTTGCAGACCACCACAGATGGCTACCAATGCTGAGTCAAGTAAGCCATGTTTAGGTAGGGACAGAGTTCAAGAGTTACTTCCCCTCTATCACCAAAGGAGTCTACTATAGGTCAGTCAGTAGAGTAACAGACTTTGCAATTTTTGGTGAAGATCTGAAGTTCATGGTTCTACCCCAACCCAGGATGGTTTGTGTTACTCCGGAGCTGAAATCACCGACCATCCTGTGCTGTCAATTTGTCCTTTGGCAAGACACTTAATTGTAACAGCTGTAGTTAGAATTTGTTAAGTTCCCCTCATCATTTGCAGTGGAGAAATCGTCAGCTGTTATAAGGAGTGTTAGATTGATGTTCAATATCTTTCTGTTGCCTGTCTTTAAAAAGCATGCTATAATTTGTTGGTATTAGAGATGTGTTTTAGTTTGATATTAGCATGCCTTTCCTGTTATTTGTATAGAATGTATCCCTTTTATATTCTTTTTATTAGCTTGTCACTAACCATTCTTCTTTAGCTGTCTGTGTCAGTATATAACACTGAATATATGAATTCTTTCTATTTTACAACAATTGTGAAACAAATTATTCCAACTTAATATTTATTACACTTGTTGGCCCCAATGGAAGTGTTGGGAGTACACAAGCAAAACCTATGTGGTTGGGCCTGGGCCTCTTTATGTTTCAGTAAGCACTGTGTATCAACTAAATATCAATAAATATTGGCAATAATTCAAATTCAAATGAATATCTAGTTCTAGTGTAATACTGATATTTGAATATAAAATTGAGACATATACTGATCAGAAATATCATCCATCACAGACATACATATAGACAGGAATATGTTACTGCCATCTATCACCATCACAGACATACATATAGACATAATGTTAGCCATCTATCACCATCACAGGACAGGAATAATGTTACTGCCATCTAGCACCATCACATAATGTTAATACACATCTATCACCATCACAGATATACATATAGACAGGAATAATGTTACTGCCATCTATCACCATCACAGACATACATATAGACAGGAATAATGTTACTGCCATCTCTCACCATCACAGACATACATATAGACAGGAATAATGTTGCTGCCATCTATCACCATCACAGACATACATATAGACAGGAATAATGTTACTGCCATCTATCACCATCACAGACATACATATAGACAGGAATAATGTTACTGCCATCTATCACCATCACAGACATACATATAGACAGGAATAATGTTACTGCCATCACAGACATACATATAGACAGGAATAATGTTAATACCATCTATCACCATCACAGACATACATATAGACAGGAATAATGTTACTGCCATCTATCACCATCACAGACATACATATAGACAGGAATAATGTTACTGCCATCTATCACCATCACAGACATACATATAGACAGGAATAATGTTACTGCCATCTATCACCATCACAGACATACATATAGACAGGAATAATGTTACTGCCATCTAGCACCATCACAGGCATACATATAGACAGGAATAATGTTACTGCCATCTATCACCATCACAGACATACATATAGACAGGAATAATGTTACTGCCATCTATCACCATCACAGACATACATATAGACAGGAATAATGTTACTGCCATCTATCACCATCACAGACATACATATAGACAGGAATAATGTTACTGCCATCTATCACCATCACAGACATACATATAGACAGGAATAATGTTACTGCCATCTAGCACCATCACAGACATACATATAGACAGGAATAATGTTACTGCCATCTAGCACCATCACAGTATATACATATAGACAGGAATAATGTTATGTTATTCCATTGGCGGAATACAACTGCCACATATAATTTTGCTGTATTCGACGGTGATTGAAAACGGTTGTAGCATGTACATTAATTTTACTGAATTACTTTCTGATTTACTTAAATATTTCATTTAGAAATATTGATAACTGTTTAAGTAAACAATTTTTTTCCCGAAAATTCGTAGAATTGCTTTTAATATCCATTGAAGTGTGAAACTATATTTCTTCATGGAGTAAATATTTTGATGTGCATCATCAGGTACAGCTCAGCATAACATTCACATCAGGTAAACAGATTGTATACCTTGTTCTCATTTGAGAAAGTGACATTTCTTACTGGGACTGACCAAGATTTACATGGCGGGTGTTGTTTATGAAGCAGAAGATACTTACTCTTCCGGAACACCTGGTTTTATTCTCCTTGTACTTTTTTCAGGGATTTCCATGTGAATATTTCCATTGTTCGTATTTTGCTTTAGTTTTGTCGAATTTGGAACACATGGTCAGTGTCTTAAAATGTAAACTGCATTCACACTCAACAGAACACAGCTTGTGTTTAAGATATTGACCATGTATTCTCTGTATACAGGAATAAGGTTACTCTCCTCTTGCACTCTTAGTTGTTATCAGTCATATCATATCATACATGCACATGTATAAATTATAATAGAATTAAATTTTTTTGTTCGCTTCAGACAAAGCCCTGACAAATATGGAGGATTGTAAAAAGAAAGATGAAGAAGACAATATATATGTGTTTGACTTCAAGCTCGACATGGATGACATCATCTCCTCCACCTTAAAGGAACTCTGTGAACCAGAACACGAGGACACATTGGCCTTCCAGTCAGATCTCTCCAAGTTTTCTCAGCAACTGCGAACCATTGACCGTGCGTTTTAATCAATACTTGTTATTATCTTGACCTAGATCACTTAAAGAGGGATTAATTAAATGTAGGGAGGGTATTTTTCAGTGTATATCTATGCATTCGGTTTTGATTTTTGGCATTCACTTGGAAAACAAATAAAAATGTTGTACATTTCAATGGAAAATTAACTTATCACACAATATTAAATCCTTTTGAGATTTGTTTCTTATTTCAAAATGTTTATTAATATGATAGATTTCCAAACTTACTATAATAGGAATACCTACACTATTAAACAACAGTAAAATTGTCTGGTAGAGAGGGCCTAGTTAACGGTAATACTGAACAAGACACTAACCACAGTTAGTAAAACTGCATCATTAGCAAATATTTTGAAATCTCTAACAAATTACATATTGTTGTTGATAAATAAAAGTCTGCAAACAACAGTAATTTTTTAAAGATTTATTTTGAACTATTTGTTATCTACTACCACCAACATTTCTATCATACCCCCATACATCTTTGGAACAAATTTTACTCTATATAATTATCTCTTTACTCCAGGCAAGACAAAGGAAGTACGTAAAATCTACACTGAATGTTCAGAGAAGCTACGTATCTACAGGGAGGAGTTGGAGGAGGCTGATCGTGAGGAAGAGTAGGTGTTCACTAAACATAATGGAACAATAACAATGATAAATGTAGTTAATTATTGAACTCTTTATGAATAACTGCATTATCTTATTTCATTGAAAACCTTACCCTTGATGAATTTTGAAAGTATATGTCAAATGGGATACAATACTATAAAAATTTTGTTATTTTAAAATTGAAGATGATTTTTGTATCCTACAATTTTCATGTTTTGTTACTCTTTATAATAATGAGTTTCTGGAAGTGACTGGTAGAAAATCATTCTGTCCATTTTCACTTACATTGTAATTACTAGTGGGATTAAAGCTTATAACGACATCAGATGTCTGTCAAGTTCTTCATTTTTTTTTTTCATTTTACTACTTAGAAGTATTTTCTCATATATGAGCTCTGAACAAATTTAATTATTCTGTAAGGGGCAAGCACCACCATTCAGTTGCTTTCTAATTTTCTGTCATCCTGTATTATTTTTTGTTGTATAACCAGTAAGTTGGTATAGGCAGTTTTACTTGACATGAACAGATTGCGAGAGGCAGCAGCAGAGATTGATGCTAAAGAGGCTGCAGAAGCTAATGCCAAAGTTGATGATGACAGCGACGAGGATGATGTACAGTTTGTGGCCGCAACCTACGACCCCTCCATCATGGAGAAGAGGCAAGGAATAGCTAACCAGAATAAAAACCTTGTTTCAGCTTTGTCAGCTTCACCAGCAACCACAAAAATGGAACCTCTGACACTACCTCCAGGGTAAGTTAACATTAGTAAACATGACATTTCCAAAGATTATTAAACTTGACATTCCCAAGGATTATTGAACATGACATTCTTAGAGTTAGAAAATATGATATTTCCCAGTGTAATATGACATTTCCCACTGTATGTAATCATGACATCTCCCAGTGTAAGTAAACATGACATTTCCTGGTGTAAGTAAACATGACATGTATTATAAGTTATGTGACATTATAACCATGGTAAATTAGCATGATGTTATCACCAGGGAAACTAACATGCCATTATCACTATGATTAGTAAACATGCCATTATCACTATGATTAGTAAACATGACATTATCACTACGATTAGTAAACAAGACATTATCACTATGATTAGTAAACAAGACATTATCACTATGATTAGTAAACAAGACATTATCACTACGATTAGTAAACAAGACATTATCACTACGATTAGTAAACAAGACATTATCACTACGATTAGTAAACAAGACATTATCACTACGATTAGTAAACATGTCATTATCACTTTGATTAGTAAACATGACATTATCACTACGATTAGTAAACAAGACATTATCATCAGTAAACAAGACATTATCATCAGAGGAATTAAATGTGACAAACATTACATTACATACACAGATATTTATTTCACATGGTAAATGTGATGTGTAGACAGAAATCAAGCATTCTCTCAGTATCACTTTTTATGTGTGCTTGTGTTATAGGGCTGTGTTGGTGAAGTTGCCCCCTAACGGTCAGTCCCAGGCAGGTAACAGCCCCTCACTCCAGTCCCTGAGAAATGCTCTAGCAGCCTCTATCAACAAACAAATCCCTCCACAGCTACAACCGACCACCACTACTGTGGTAAGTTTCTATATTTATAGCTGTGATAATCCTGATTCTCAGACATTACGGTATTCAAAATGCATACATTATTAATTTTAATAAATACTTGTATACAATCTTATTCTTTCAAACATAAATTTTACTTGAAGTGTTAATAGATTTAGAATTATACATAGCTAGCATGCAATTTACTACAATGAATCCCGGAAAAACCTTAATGAATTAATATTAGTAACAATATTTTGTTATGCAGAAATTGATAATGATTTCTATACAAGCTTTACTGGGATTCCAGGAAACAAATCTGTATAATATTGATTTTTATACGAGTTACACTATTTCTAAGGGACCCCAGTTTACTTGTTTGTTCAATATTTTTTTTTATACAAGTTGCATTGTTTCAAGGAGACCCCAGGCAACTGGTTTGTACATATACGTTACCAGGGGACTTCAAAGTAACTAGTTTTTAGGTCATCTGACCTGAAGGGTTATGATGACCTATTGCTATTGGAATCGTACTTGCTGTTTATTGTCCACCATCTGTATGTAAACTTTGCTTTGAAATGCGTCTCCTCCTTCATGCCTCAATGGATTTCAACTAGATTTTGGTTAATGCATTATTAGACCAAATGATTCTATTCAGCTAGTTGATACAACTCCTAGGGACTTGTGGATGGGGCCCCAAAAGGGGAAATCAGGCAATATTTTCCTTTCAAATGCTACTTCTCTTTCACGTCTTGATGAATTTCAACCAGATTTGGTCTGATGCATAATTGGGTGAAGGCAATGAATTCCTCTATTAAAATAGCAGATTCCACCCCAAAGGGCCAGGGAACAGGGTCTCAAAATGGGAAGTTGCTTTAATATACTATTCTTTCATGCCATAATTGATTTCAATGAAATTTGTTTTGAAACATCATTGAGGATGGGGCATTGTTTCTTATATTCAGAAATTTGGTTTGAACCCCGAGGGATTTAGAGAAAGGGCCCCAAATCAGGAAATTAGACAATGTTTTGCTTCATTATGCTACTGTTCCTTAATGCTTGAATGGAGTTCAACCAGATTTTGTCTGAAACACCATTGGAGTGGGCATTTAATTCTTAAATTCAGAAAGTTGATTTGACCCCCAGGGACGTAGGGACATGGCATATTTTGCTTCAAATTGCTAACCTTTCTTAATGCTTAAATGGATTTCAACTAAATTTTGTCTGAAATATTGTAAGGGGTTCCAAATTATTTCTTAAATTCTGAAAATTGATTTGACCCCTAGGGACTTGGGATGGCACTCCAAAAGGGGAAATTGGGCAATATTTTGCTTTAAGACATTACTCCTTCTTAATTCCTGGGTAGATTATAGGCAAATATGGTCTTGAGGTTGTCCTGAACAAATCTTATTTTTTTGGTTTGGTCTAAATTCCAACTTAACTCTTCTTGAACAAATGGTCTGAGCTACATCTCCAGTTTCATTTGCGATGTTTGGAGTTTCATTTGTTAAGGAAAAGAAACCGATGATATGTTTTTGTATTTCACCCTTGTCAAAAGTTTGACAACAAAGCCATAGTAGCCATTTTATAACATACTTGTGCAACTGTTTTTCATGAACAAAACCTACCATTTATAAGTTTCTGATACTTTCAAGAAATGCTGAAATTTTTAATTCATTGGATTTGTTAGATCAACATCCGCAAAATCTATTGTCTGTCCATCCATCCGTAGATTGTCAGAGGACAGTGAAGGGCCATGGCCCTCTTGTTACAATATTGACGTGAGTTACACTGTTTCTAGGGAACCCCAGGTAACCGGTTTGTACAGTCTAACACTCTGTAGAATCTCTTTTCTGTCCATTTATCCATCCATCCATTGATTGTCAGAGTTAAGGGCCATGGCCCTCTTGTTACAATATTGACGTGAGTTACACTGTTTCTAGGGAACCCCAGGTAACCGGTTTGTACAGTCTAACACTCTGTAGAATCTCTTTTCTGTCCATTTATCCATCCATCCATTGATTGTCAGAGTTAAGGGCCATGGCCCTCTTGTTACAATATTGACATGAGTTACACTGTTTCTAGGGAACCCCAGGTAACCGGTTTGTACAGTCTAACACTCTGTAGAATCTCTTTTCTGTCCATTTATCCATCCATCCATTGATTGTCAGAGTTAAGGGCCATGGCCCTCTTGTTACAATATTGACATAAGTTACACTGTTTCTAGGGAACCCCAGGTAACCGGTTTGTACAGTCTAACACTCTGTAGAATCTCTTTTCTGTCCATTTATCCATCCATCCATTGATTGTCAGAGTTAAGGGCCATGGCCCTCTTGTTACAATATTGACATGAGTTACACTGTTTCTAGGGAACCCCAGGTAACCGGTTTGTACAGTCTAACACTCTGCAGAATCAGCAACGAATGGAAGCCCTGTACAGGGCAGATGTGGAGTAAGTTTGAATGATCAGTTATTATTGTCAACAAGTCCAGTGATATTCAGTATACCCAACTTATATACACCAATATTAAGGTACACATTCCCAGCATTTTCTACAGATGAAAAGTTCCATTGTTTTGCAATATTAAGTTTATCATACCAGGTAGTTCAACTTTTGATGAAAACGTCTGAATATTTGAATATATCTCAAGTCAACATAATTTATTGTACTAATGCAGTAACTACTTATTTCTTAATACGTTTTGGCAACTTTACTGGAAATTATTATTTTTACAATCTTAATGGCCTGTTTATACATTTTTTAAGTATATTATAGGAAAATTAATTTCCAGCCTCTGTATATAGTGGAAGACAAGACACACCATCTACATTGATTGGTGAACAGCAGTTAGTACATTTATCCTGTTATAGTGGCCTTGTGGTTAAAATGGGTCATATTTGAGTGTAAAAATAATGTTGTCTTTTACAGGACAATAGAAGTTGGTGGTAAAATACTTGGAAAGAAATTTAATGATATTTGGTACAAAGGAACTGTATCAGACATCCAGAATAAAGATAAGCCTGTTGCAGAGGTATGTAACAAAAATATTATGCAGAAATCAATCTCTAACAATCAGATAATTAAACCTCTTCAGGTCCCTACCAGCTGGAGCCTAGTTAGTAGATAACTCGTTGTTTGATAAGGTAGTTTGTAGGCAGTCTGATAAATAAAGATTTCAGAGTACAAGATTTTTGTATTGTTAGTCTTTATGTAGTATATTGCTTATATATATTTATGCATGTAACTTCTACTATTTTTGTATTTGGGTCATGATTTTGAACTGTCAATGAGAATAGGAACCTATGAAAAGAATAAGACAAGCCAGTGTTGTTTTATTTAGGATTCTGTGATATTAAGGCTGAAAATATCTCTCTTTATCTTCAGTATTTAGTATTTCTTCACTTCTGATTTTTTTCATTTTCAGAGGAAATATAGCATTAAGTTTGATGGAAAAGGAAAGAAAGTGCTGAGTCCAAAACATGTTGCTTTTAAAGACCCGATAGTTCGACAGATCTATGTAGGCACACGAGTCATAGGTCAGTAGCTGTGGTCAGTAAAGTATGCAGATACCGAGGATATAGGTCAAATACTGACATTGAAATTGGTCTAGTTCATAGATTGAGTCCTGGATAAGACAGGATCAAAAGATTGGACCAAAGAATATACTCAAAATGTGGTATGGTCCTTGGTCGGAAGATTTCTAGTTAACTTGAGTTGGTTATGACAGTAAGCAAGAAATTTCTCTAAGAAGTTGTCGTTTCCTCTCCCTGAAACTCTCACTTGTATATTAGATGTCAGAGGGATAGAGAATTGAATGATGTTTTACATGTGTGTTCATCCCAAATATAGTCCTGACTTTGGGTCTTAGATTTTACTTGAGTCTAACAGCTTAATCTTAGCTGTGCTGTAATGTTTTCTGAAAATCAAAGGAAGTTTACTTATCTGAATTATCTCATTTTAGCATTGTATCGTGATGAAGATTCAACATCGTCATACTATGCAGGGATAGTAGCTGAAACTCCCAACGGCCGAAATCAACAGAGGTTCGTCTCATACTTTACTCATTCCAGTTTCTGAATAGTTCCCTAACATAAGATCTCTCAATATCTTTGTCCAGGTCATTCTCATCTTATGAAAAAATTATTGGGTTTTATGTTATAGATATGCTGGTGAATGTATTTCATTGTTCTGGCTTGTCTTTTTTAGGTATCTGATCTTCTTTGATGATGGCTATGCACAGTATTCACTGGCAGCAGATATCAACAAAGTCCTGTGGCAGAGTAAGTCACTTTACAGATCTGATGTAGTCTTCAACTTATGTATCTGAAACCATGACAAGGGCTTATCCAATGAAATATCTGCTTGACCCAAGGATTTTTTAATAAATTCACTATTGATATTAACACGAAATAAATCCCATGTGAAAAATACATGATTTACATAACTAAAATCTATATAAAGGCAGTAATAACATCAGTGTAATTGATTTTAATATGTGTATCACAAAAACTTTATATTAAACCATTATAAGAAATAATAGGATTCCATGATTTTTTTTCAGGTAGTAATGTATGGGAGGACATCCATCCCGACTCACAGGAATTCATCAAAGAATACCTAAAACAATACCCCGAGGTAAGGACATACAGGTCCCAATTTATAACCAATCAGCTGATATCACAGTGTCACTTTGTCTTTTGTATGTACATTTACTGCCAGGTGAGATGTCCTAGATTTGGATACTTAAATGTATGTTATTACTATTTCTCAGAAACTGCTGAAGGGATGATTATACTCCTGATCATTTTGTATACCATACTTCTAAGTTGTCAAACATTGTTCAGAGGCAGTTTGTGCTTTGACGTGGTTTTGTTCTTGGGCAAGACACTTTACTCTATTTCCTGTGGATGGTATGCAATGGGCTGCCTGTATATTGATCAATGAGGTTACCACTGGATACTACAAAGAGATTGTGCCTCAAAATGACCTTGGTGATAAACCAAACAAACAAGCTTTGTTGAGTGTTATATTTAAGTACATGTATTACCATTATTCTAACACACTAAAAACTTGTGGACATGTGTTTTTGTAGCGACCCATGGTGAGGCTCCAGAAGGGTCAGATGGTAAAGACAGAGTGGAATGGTAAATGGTAAGTACAAAGATTAATACTATCTTCATCACTTCTTTGTAATTCATTTTAGGAAAGGAAATAATTGTTGGTTCAAGTTATCTTTTAGATATTTTTGAAATTTTCCAAAACCAAACCTTATAAACTGTGTTGTAATCTTCTATACCATGTCACAATGTCTGTATTTTGGTTGATCAATTAGCGGCTGATTATCAGGTATTAAATCATTAATTATTCATGCTAAAAGTGCCCCATTCAGTATCTCACTCCCAGACCACATTCTACTTCTGTGTTAATTGGTTCCTGATATGTTTTTCCCGTTACCAGACCATCATGTACACCTGTTTAAATCAATTTCTGATATAATTGTGCCTTTCCCAGACCATCAGGAACACCTGTTTAAATCAATTTCTGATATAGTTGTGCCTTTCCTAGACCAACAGGAACACCTGTTTAAATCAATTTCTGATATAGTTGTGCCTTTCCCAGACCATCAGGAACACCTGTTTAAATCAATTTCTGATATATTTTTCCCGTTACCAGACCATCATGTACACCTGTTTAAATCAATATCTGATATAATTGTGCCTTTTCCAGACCATCATGTACACCTGTTTAAATCAATTTCTGATATAGTTGTGCCTTTCCTAGACCAACAGGAACACCTGTTTTAATCGATTTCTGATATAGTTGTGCCAAACAGGAACACCTGAGACCATCAGCTTACTCTATTTTAATCAATACCAGTCAAGATGATTATAGTAAATGGTTCATGTCGTCTGTGCTTTAGGTGGACGGCAAAAGTGATGGAAGTAGATGCTAGTCTGGTCAAGATGTATTTCCTGGCAGATAAGCGTGTGGAGTGGATATATCGGGGATCTACCCGTTTGGAGCCTCTCTACACAGCACTGGTAAGATACCTTCACTAGATACAGTGTTTCAGGAAAGATGACTACATTGTGTATTGAATCTTGTATTGCCAATAGTACTAAATTTCTCATCCATAATGTAACTTATGTATTTGATATGCTTTTGATATTCATTTGTAAAAAGTTGTTTTACATGATCTTTTGTGAGTGTTCTAATCTTTAAGTTTTCAAAACTTACTGTAATTTCTATACACACAAAATTTATACACACAAGTCTTGTTATATATGTGATAATATTTATTAACCTTTTTTTGTTGTGTTTTACATTGGTCTTGTCCACCAGTCTGTTCCTCCTTGTTAACATTGATGATAATTACAGGCTAATGCTGAGTACAACAAGAGTGCTGGTAAAGTGAAACGTCACACCAACACCACAGTGGGTAAAACTCCAGTGGTAGAGTATACAAGGGGTGTTAGTGAAACCTTCAGTCAACAGGTTGTTAGTAAGTAAATCCCTTCTCATATTCTGGTATATTATTTCACATCCATATACTTGCATGCTTAAATATTCCACCTATGTTAGTTAAATAGTTTCAGGGAAGGAACTATATAAGGACATCGTTTCTTCATATTTCAATTTTAGCTAACAGGACCTCCCAGGTAAAGAATTTCTTAAGTTGGACATGCTACTTGCATTGTCAAAAAATGGGGTCATTTTTGTGTAAGCGGTTCAAATGGTTGAACCTACAAGAAAAATGCCAGGTACAGATCGTGACCAAAGCTGGATTGCGGAACACTGGGCACTTTCTGTTTGAGGGGTCCAGCCTTACCTGTCTGAAACTAACTTGCTAAATATTATTAGTTTTCAAAATTTCAGCAAAAAGCAGGGTCGGTTCTTGTTCACATTTCCATGCTTAATAGTATGAATTAAATGGGTGGTATTGTAGGTCATTTTTGTGTAAGCGTTTTAAATGGTTGGACTGGTCGAATCTACCAAGAAAACCCAGGAACTGAGGCTGGACTGCAAAATATTTGGCACATGCAAATTAAGGGGTCCAGCTGTACCTGTCCAAATCTTACTTGCTGAATATCATTTGTTTTCAGAATTTCAGCATAAAGTACAGTCGATGCACTCACATTTTTTGGGAAGCATTGTGCTTATCATTATGAGTGAAATGGATGGTATCTTAATTTTAGTGAATTGTTTTATGTTTGACATGAAATTCCAAAACTTTGCATTCTGAGCTTTACATATATCTTGTCCAGAATCTGGTATATATGCATTCTTGTATAGTGGAATAATTCCAGACCACTTGAACCATTTCAACCAGGATATGCAAAAACAGCTTCGGAAAATAAATGAAGGGGTTTGAACTTTACCAAACTTTATGTACACTTTTTGTTAATGGTAGATTAAAATAATGTAAAATTTAATCAATCTTGATTTTGGTGTGTGTTATACCTGTCATATGCTAATCAAGCTCCACAGGCTAACAAGACCCCATCACCACAAGTACCAGCCACACTAGTACGACAGTCTTCTGCAGACAAAAAGAGACCAGTAGCCAGAAAGAGTACATCTGGTCGTCCATCCACAGAGTGGGAAGGGCCGTGGGTGAAACAGACTCGAACAGGTGCTCCAGTAGAAAAATCAAAAGGTAATTAGATAATTACATAAGTTGTAGAAAGAATAACTCGTATCCAACATGTATCAGAAACTTTTAATGAGGAGAAAAGATTCCTTTGGCTTTAGTAGAATTTCATTTTTGTGTTTGCAATCAAAGTTCCATTTTATGTACTTACAGAATTTGTTATCAAAGTTCCATCTTATGTACTTACAGAATTTGTTGCCAGCAGTATCAGCAGTCAAAAAGTTGGGAAAGATATGGCAAGTGTGTTACAGGACCGTCTGTCTAAAACTGCAGACAACACAGATCTAGGTTTGAACATTTTACTGTATCTTCTATAAGTCTAAACAATAAACATGGTTTGATGTGATAACTAACACTGGTCATGTAATTTTACATCTATAGTTTACAGACATCAACATTTTCTTGATTCCAAGTTTTATGTTAACAGATGATGATTCCTTAGGACAAAGAATGGAATCAAAACTGCCATTCAAAGACCGAGTGAGGAGGAAATTTAGTAAGTACCATTGTCTTTGTAAGCATTGACAGTTGATTCTGAGATTTTTTTCTCTTTATCAGTGTTTCTTTGGAGACCTGAACATTACTATGTTTACGAAACACATACAGTGTCACCAAGCTCCTGGAGCACTTTTTAAGATAAAAAAAAAATTTCTTCATTTTCTCTTGTGACCTCCAAAATCAAGCGATCAAAATAAAGATGTCATCCTAGAATGAATGATATTAATATAGACTCTTTTAAGAAAATCTTTTTAAATAACAGTGAATTTGAAACACTAGAACTTCATACATAGTATCTTCAAAGGTTGGACTATATACTTAAATTGTCACTCATAGTGAGTAGAACATTTCTTTCTTTATAAAAAAATGTACTCTTGTTTTAAAAAATGCAGCTATATCATTGACTCAATGTTGATTGAGGGTGAAGGGTTACAGTGCAGCAAGATTTCTCAGCACGACTGACTTTCTCTGTCTGGCTGTTTAAACAGAAAGCAAAGATAGAGTTCAAAATATGAGCCTGTAAAAGTAACTATATCATTGTAAATATACTTGTGTTAACTTTCAGGAACTCACAACTGTGGTAAAGATTGTTTGAAAGATTGTGATGATGACCCAACAAAGTACAAGGGAGGCAACCCACTCCTGATTCCATTATTGTGTGGCTGGGAAAGGTATAGTGTCTTAATGCTGTGTATAATGTTGGCTTCTTCAAACATGAATGTGATTCATATAATCTTTCCATGATGAAAACTTTAAATGAAAAAGAAGTTAGTAGCTAGTAATAGCTACACTATTTATGTATACATATGTATTTAGTTATAAAATCATAATTGATAGAAATCTGATATATGCAAGACTTCTTGAAAGTTACATACAGCAATGGATTTGATAATGTTGCAACAGATATGTTTTTAGTGATTTGGAAAGATGATCAGTTCAGTTCTTGGCGAAAAGGGATTTGTGTTGATAATAAAGTATAGCTCTTAGGAGGAAGAAGGGATTTTTTATTAATAGTAATGTTTAAATGATTATTACCTGTATCTGTGTAAACCCAACAGAGGTGTTGAAATGTCTGTTGTATGTTCTACAGACACGTGTGTAAAATGAAGCCTAACCACAAGAGAGTGGTGATGTATCGTGCTCCCTGTGCTCGGCGACTACGAAGCATGGATGATGTGTTTACATTCCTAATGCTCTGTGATTCACAACTAACCATTGACATGTTCTGCTTTGATCCCATCCTACATGTACACACTGAGTTTGTTCCAGTCAAGGTAAGTATAAATGAGATTATATAAATCACAACATTTCATATCTGAATGCATTGTGTAACAGACTAGTAATTCGGAATTGTCGATGTGTGTAATGAAATCCTCAATGTTTTGTTATAATTTCCAGATATCATTTTGTATATTATACTATATGTCAGGCCTGTTTAGTGATTGTAGAGTACGGGTATATACACTCCTTTAAAGCCAGTTTTGGTATTATATATCGTATTTCCTGTTTGAGTGTATGTCATAATCAATATAGAGAAATGGGATCTGCTAGTCTGTTTCTGTCAATTCATTTTAAATAAAATCTGATTTAGAAAAATGTTTTATAATGATATGTGTTATTGTTTAATTTAAAATTCATTGAAGTGTAAAATTGATAACTAGCTGTTTAAAGTTTACATGAGCCAGAATTTCTCAGTAGGTAAGTTAAAATCTGATTTTCTATGTTACAGACTTTTTGTGACATTAAAGACTTGTCATATGGGAAAGAAAATGTGCCAATATCATGCGTGAATGCCCATGACAGACAATATCCAGACTATGTAGAATATTCAAATGTCCGGATACCGGCCAAGGGTGTGAAGCTTAATCTTGACCCAGATTTCCTGGTCTGTTGTAGCTGTACTGATGGCTGTAGTGTAAGTATCACACGGGTATCTGTGTCAAGCTTAATCTTGACCCAGATTTCCTGGTCTGTTGTAGCTGTACTGATGGCTGTAGTGTAAGTATCACACGGGTATCTGTGTGAAGCTTAATCTTGACCCAGATTTCCTGGTCTGTTGTAGCTGTACTGATGGCTGTAGTGTAAGTATCACACGGGTATCTGTGTCAAGCTTAATCTTGACCCAGATTTCCTGGTCTGTTGTAGCTGTACTGATGGCTGTAGTGTAAGTATCACACGGGTATCTGTGTGAAGCTTAATCTTGACCCAGATTTCCTGGTCTGTTGTAGCTGTACTGATGGCTGTAGTGTAAGTATCACACGGGTATCTGTGTCAAGCTTAATCTTGACCCAGATTTCCTGGTCTGTTGTAGCTGTACTGATTGCTGTAGTGTAAGTATCACACGGGTATCTGTGTGAAGCTTAATCTTGACCCAGATTTCCTGGTCTGTTGTAGCTGTACTGATGGCTGTAGTGTAAGTATCACACGGGTATCTGTGTCAAGCTTAACCTTGATCCAGATTTCGTGATCTTTTTTCTCACTCCAGTATCTATCTGTGTCAGGTCAACTTATTTTTAGAAATGATTGGATTAGCTTGGTTTAATCATTTCTGTATGAAAGTCTTAACCAGTTAACCATCTTCAACATTTACATTACAAGTCCAGTTTTTATGCTCCCTGAAGTAAGAACATATAGTCGCTTTGTCCATCCGGCCGTCTGTTCACCCATTTGTCTGTCTGTCATAATTTTGTCCAGGGCATAACAAAAAGCTATAAGCAGTACATAAAACTTCATCTGTAAATGGATCACAACAAGGAGAAGTGCAATGCACTAGAACAATCACTTTCTTTTGCATAATGTAAGAGTTATTGCCCTTTGTTATTTTGCATACTTGTCAGATAACATATTGTTCTGCCCAATAGGATAGAGCTAAGTGTGAATGTCAACAGCTGACAGTGGAGGCCACAGGGATAGTAGAAGGAGGCAAGAAAAATCCTAATGCTGGATATGAACACCGAAGGCTCAAGGAACCCCTAACAACAGGGTCAGTAATATGTGTAATGTGTAAATGTGTGAAACACAACATAAATTCATTAAAAGTGCTGCAAAAATCAGTGTCTGTTAATGAAATTCTTTTTTCTGTGTAGCCTTCTTTAACAACCTAATCTCGGTACTATTGATTTGTGATGTCACAATAGTGATTCAGACTTGTTGGTCAGATGAGAGGACAAAATTTGACATTATTTGTTGCAATGTGTACAAGTGTAACACTGGCTATAAATATTGACATACTTTGGTGCAGTGTGTGCAAATGTAATGCTGGCTATGAATGTTGACATACTTTGGTGCAGTGTGTACAAGTGTAATGCTGGCTATGAATGTTGACATACTTTGGTGCAGTGTGTACAAGTGTAACACTGGCTATAAATGTTGACATACTTTGATGCAGTGTGTACAAGTGTAACACTGGCTATAAGTGTTGACATACGTTGATGCAGTGTATGTACAAGTTTAATGTTGGCCATAATTGTTAACATTCCTTGTTGCAGTGTATACGAGTGTAACTCCCGGTGTAAATGTGACAATAGATGCTGTAATAGAGCTGCACAGAATGGATTGAATGTCCGTCTCCAAGTGTTCAAAACAGAGAAAAAGTTAGTAACTTCAAAGTATAGTTAACTAAATATATAATGTTATACCTAACATTGTTATAAACAACACTATCTAGAGTACTGATAAATCATTTGTAGATGGAACCATATTATACCTAGTAATCAAACACTTTTGCATAATTGAAGTGTTAACATTTTAACTAGAATTTTAAAATAAATTGATGTGTGCTGTATTTCCTCAACATCATGTCCTTCTGATCTTGGTTTTATTCATTTATTTTTATTTGACAACGGGTTTTACGTCCACTATTACGACCTTTCGGTCTTTCAGCAGACGAGTTCTGATCTTGGTAATATATTGTTTTTTATATTTGACAACGGGTTTTACGTCCACTATTACGTCCTTTCAATCTTTTAGCGGACGAGCTCTGATCTTGGTAATATATTGTTTTTTATATTTGACAACGGGTTTTACGTCCACTATTACGACCTTTCGGTCTTTCAGCAGACGAGTTCTGATCTTGGTAATATATTGTTTTTTATATTTGACAACGGGTTTTACGTCCACTATTACGTCCTTTCAATCTTTTAGCGGACGAGCTCTGATCTTGGTAATATATTGTTTTTTATATTTGACATCCTGCAATAAGAAGTATTTTGGTTGGTTAACAGAGGCTGGGGTTTACGGTGCCTTGATGACCTGCCCTCTGGTGGGTTTATCTGTATATATGCCGGCCAGTTACTGACAGAGCAGGGTGCTAATGAGGTGAGACACTTCTAAACCAAGATAAAATATTGGTAATATAATCTACAGGGTAATTAACAAAGGACATTGATGTTTCTTTGTGTCTTTCTTATTAAGTGAATGCAAATTAATTTTGAAGGATTTGGTTTAGAACATCAATATTGTTAGCTTCCAAAACAAATATTAGTTTCTCTAATTTTATAAAGCTGATTTTAGTACTAGAGCAACCTAAAATTTCTGATATATTCAGGAGGTAAGAGATCTGTTGGTTTACGTTTTGGTCAGTCTTTTTATGTTATCTTCTATTTACACAAAAACAGGTGTTATTTTTAAGTTCTTTATTATATTAAGTAGTTTTAAATGAAGCTTTGAATACTGTTATTTTCCAGGATGGACAGCAGTATGGTGATGAGTATTTGGCAGAGCTGGATTATATGGAGGTTGTAGAGAGACAGAAAGAAGGATATGAAAGTGATGTAGACATGGATGAAGGTGTTGGGGACAGCAGTGAAGATGATGAAGACAGTGATCGCCACTTTAGCGATAGTGACAGGTAATATAACTACAATAACAGGTAATATAGATAAACTGACGGGTACATTAAATATTCTCAACAGAATTTAACTCAATAGAAACAGTAATTATAGCAAGACATCAAGAAATGTAGCTATAAGATTACAACAAGAACTGTAGCTATAGGATTACAACAAGAAGTGTAGCTATAGGATCACAACAAGAAGTGTAGCTATAGGATCACAACAAGGACTGTAGCTATAGGATCACAACAAGAAGTGTAGCTATAGGATCACAACAAGAACTGTAGCTATAGGATCACAACAAGAAGTGTAGCTATAGGATCACAACAAGGACTGTAGCTATAGGATCACAACAAGAACTGAAGCTATAGGATTACAACAAGAAGTGTAGCTATAGGATCACAACAAGAAGTGTAGCTATAAGATCACAACAAGAAGTGTAGCTATAGGATCACAACAAGGACTGTAGTTATAGGATCACAACAAGGACTGTAGCTATAGGATTACAACAAGAAGTGTAGCTATAGGATCACAACAAGAACTGTAGTTATAGGATCACAACAGGAACTGTAGCTATAGGATCACAACAAGAACTGTAGCTATAGGATCACAACAAGAACTGTAGCTATAGGATCACAACAAGAAGTGTAGCTATAGGATCACAACAAGAACTGTAGCTATAGGATCACAACAAGAAGTGTAGCTATAGGATCACAACAAGAACTGTAGCTATAGGATCACAACAAGAACTGTAGCTATAGGATCACAACAAGGACTGTAGCTATAGGATCACAACAAGAACTGTAGCTATAGGATCACAACAAGAAGTGTAGCTATAGGATCACAACAAGAAGTGTAGCTATAAGATCACAACAAGAACTGTAGCTATAGGATCACAACAAGGACTGTAGCTATAGGATCACAACAAGGACTGTAGCTATAGGATTACAACAAGAAGTGTAGCTATAGGATTACAACAAGAAGTGTAGCTATAGGATCACAACAGGAACTGAAGCTATAGGATCACAACAAGAACTGTAGCTATGAGATCACAACAAAAATAATGAGTTATAGCAACACAAAAATCAACACATCAGGGACTGTAACTGTAACAACACAACAAGAACTGTAGCTGTAACAACACATCAGGGACTGTAACTGTAACAACACAGCAGGGACTGTAACTGTAACAACACATTAGAGACTGTAACTGTAACAACACATCAGGGACTGTAACTGTAACAACACATCAGGGACTGTAGCTGTAACAACACATCAGGGACTGTAACTGTAACAACACATCAGGGACTGTAGCTGTAACAACACATCAGGGACTGTAACTGTAACAACACATCAAGGACTGTAACTGTAACATCATATCAGGGACTGTAGTTGTAACAACACATCAGGGACCTGTAACAACACATTAGGGACTGTAACTGTAACAACACATCAGGGACTGTAACTGTAACAACACAGCAGGGACTGTAACTGTAACAACACAGCAGGGACTGTAGCTGTAACAACACATTAGGGACTGTAACTGTAACAACACAGCAGGGACTGTAACTGTAACAACACAGCAGGGACTGTAACTGTAACAACACAGCAGGGACTGTAACTGTAACAACACAACAAGGCCTGTAGCTGTAACAACAAAACAAGAACTGTAGCTGTAACAACACAACACGGACTGTAGTTGTAACAACACATCAGGGAAGGTAGCTGTAACAGCACATCAGGGACTGTAGCTGTAACAACACATCAGGGACTGTAGCTGTAACAACACATCAGGGACTGTAGCTGTAACAACACATCAGGGACTGTAGCTGTAACAACACATCAGGGAATGTAGCTGTAACAACACATCAGGGACTGTAGCTGTAACAACACATCAGGGACTGTAGCTGTAACAACACATTAGGGACTGTAGCTGTAACAACACATCAGGGACTGTAACTGTAACAACACATCAGGGACTGTAGCTGTAACAACACATCAGGGACTGTAGCTGTAACAACACATTAGGGACTGTAGCTGTAACAACACATCAGGGACTGTAGTAGCACAACCAAAACTAGCTTTAGCACCATGGCAGTGTGAAAATAGTGTTACTGTTGTAATATTGTTGAAAAGTTGTTTTATAAACTAAAAACAGATATCAGTCTTAGAATATTTAGAATTTCCAGTTCCTATTTACAATTTAATTGAAAACAATTTGATTCAAAACATAAGTGTTTACTTGAGCTAACTTTGTTTTCAGTGATTTCTCTGCTAATGGTCAAGGAGAAAAAGAATCTTCAAATTTAATGGACATGGCAAATTTACATAGAACAAGGTAGGCAGTATACTGATCATGTTTTATCTATATGTATCACTTGTTTGTTGGTCATTGTTTTTATCATCTGTAACAAATGCCAGAATTTTTTCAAAGTGAAAAACAAAAAATAAGAATCCCGTATTAAGATTAATGTGACAATGGGTTTAAACTGTTTCAGTTTTATGGCTAGCATGTTCTGTTGCTTTTGTAAACTGAAGCCAAATCAGATCGGTTTTAAGATAGTACATCAATAATAAAGTCCTTTCAACAGGTATTAGTGGAGTCAGCAGTATAACTACTAGTGAAGAATTCCAATTATCTGCTTTGGTTCAAAATTCAAATTATATACCTAAAGATAGAACTTCCAGGCTCTGCTGTGGTTCAGAATTCAAATTATACACCTGAGAATAGAACTTCCAGGCTCTGCTGTGGTTCAAAAATCAAATTATACACCTGAGAATAGAACTTCCAGGCTCTGCTGTGGTTCAGAATTCAAATTATACACCCGAGAATAGAACTTCCAGGCTCTGCTGTGGTTCAAAAATCAAATTATACACCTGAGAATAGAACTTCCAGACTCTGCTGTGGTTCAAAAATCAAATTATACACCCGAGAATAGAACTTCCAGGCTCTGCTGTGGTTCAAAAATCAAATTATACACCCAAACATAGAACTTCCCTGTATTGACAAATTTCCATGTAGGATTTTATAATATAATATAAGTTGACAGTGACAATACATTTGGAAGTTTTAAAAGTCTTACAGATTAAATTTCTGTATAGTTGGAAAGAGTGTAAACAATTATAGGGAAGTTATACTTCACAATTGACTAAAGCAAGTAGCTTCAGCTTTCTTTTTTTTTCGCCGAGTCTAAATCAGTCACCAGTTATGTTTGGTGGTAGGCATTCTTCTTCAGATTCACATGAAAACTAAATGTTTTCATGTTTCAGGATATCTGATGCTGTGATCCTGAATATATCAAACTCAAGAGTATTAAATACTTTTTTATGTACTCAAAAGTCAGGATATAGGCATCATTTTATTCTTTAACTTGAAGTGGATTTGTGCATCAGTGTGTGACTGAAGTAGTAATGTTTTAATTTATGAGAACTGGGTACCATACAGGGGTGGAGGGGAGGGGGGTTGGGGGGTTGGGGGGTTAAATTCATGTTTTACAGACATTGACTAGTGTCAGTTATGAATTTTAAAACTGGATTAAAATCCCTTGAAATTTTAATGTGAAAGCATCAAATGAAATGTGGATATAGACCTTTGAATTTATTTGATTGTAGAGATGATAAATACTGGTATGTTAATAGCCATGGTATTACGTTAACATGAGAACTGCTGGATTGACTAAACCACAGTGAGATCGGTGTGATGAGTATAATGTGTTGTATTAACCCTCTATCTTAGGTTGTTTACTGGCTCAGAGTAAGTATAGATTCTGCCAGAGAACATGATTTTGACTGACCCTGCATGTACTTGCATTGTTCATTGTTCTCATAGAGTTTTTCTTCAGCCTTCGTGAACAGAATGATATTGATCAAATGTTATGTTCCAGAGCATGTCTTGGTTGATGGCATCTCCGCCCCTATACATGCTTATATGCTAGAGCAGGCTCATTGAAATAAATACAAAAATAATGAAAATGAAAAGTTTTTTTACAGTATTTGTCCAAGCCCTTTGATTGAGTTTCTGTAAAACAGCAAAGATCAACCAAGTTTGCTGTTGATTATGAAGAATATAGATTGTCTGCTTGTTCATAATCCTGAGGTTTTTAAATAATAAATATTTCAGACTTAGTTTTGAAATGGCACTACTTTTAAATTATTATTAATAATTAGATATTTTATTCTCAATACAAAATTTACAATGCTAAAGAAAATCTGAGAGTTCTATCAAAAATATTAATTTTGTTGCATGGACAGAAGAGAGAAGACATAAAATTTGTGTACCAAGATTGTAAATTTTTAAAAAATATTAGATTAGAAATTAAAGTGATCACTTTTTCCATGAATCTGATTCAAGTATTTATGTACATCAACCAATTTTATCTCTCATTAGATGTTTCTTATCATACTTCCTGTAATGAAGTTTGGGGGATGGGTGAATGGTATACTGGAATCACCCTGATTGGATGTAAATATTATCAGAACTCCTAAACCGGTGAACCACTTCCATTGAAATCTCATATCAATATAAAGGACCATAAGTTGATTTGCAAGCAATTTTTTTCCATGAAATTTTGGTTGCCATGGTGACTGAAGTCTTTGCATCTGCAAGTGGTGTTAGCTATCCTCATGATGATAGACCAAGTTTATTCTTAGTTTTCAAATTTCATCCCTCAAAAAATTTTAAAAAATTATGATAACAAGAACAACTTTTTCCAGGATTAACCCAGGTACCAAATTAATGAGAAGTATCCTGGGAAGTAGTGCCATGACCTTATCCCACATGACACCAAACTACGCTTTGTTTTATAATCAGCATTACCACTGTTTATGTTGCTTACACTAGGATTTGATTTGCAGTATTTTACTTTTCGCATGCCCTTGTTTGCTGGTGTTCAATGCTTTAGTGCTAGCTCAGCGTAGATGCTGCTGACCTTTAAGGTCATCTGATCTAAAGGGTCAGGATGACCCTCATGGTTTGCCTGTTGTCATGGGCTATGCACTGTCTGCTGTCCATCATGCATAATTTCATTCAAGCAATATCATTTCAATAACCAAAAGGTCAAGTGTACTGATATTAGGCCTGTAACATGCTGGGATGACTGGCTACCAAGTTTCTTCAAATGAATTACCTTGACCCACTTTCAAGGTCACAGGGGTCAGATGTATTAAAATCTTATCAATAACAAAATTGGGCCTCAATTATACATAAGTCTATATAATTGAATGATGGTAAAGGCCCATGGGCCTCTTTCTACCTGTTGCTATCTCTGCAATGTGTCAATTGGTATTACCTGTAAATGTAATATCAGTAGGGGACACATTGAGTTGTTCTATATTACTTACATGTCCAAGCATACAGTTAAGGTTTTGCACTTCAGCCAGGTTCTGAAGAAAAATCATAAATGCTCAGTTGCATATGAAAACACATACTTTTTGACTTAAAAGTAGAGTTGTAGAAACATAGGCTTTGGGAGCCAATATCTGTAACATAATGGAATCAGCAGAACTATCTCTTCTTGACCATTGACCTTGATCTCTAGAGCGGAAATGCAGGTTTACAAAGCCATTCTTACTGTTTCATGTATTGATATGTCCTACCCATCCAGGCCTGCCCTGACTTGTTCTCTCCTGTTATCACATTAGCAACCTTATACACTGTAAAGGTCAGGATTTGGATCAACGGTGATGAAAAGGTCAAGTAAGAGTCTTTATTCTAGGTTGAAGGTCAATGTCAGTGTTAATGAAAGCCAACTGATTTGTGTGGAGTTATATCGTTAGTGGGATACATTCATATATCACAGACAATTATTACTTTGAAACTTATTGTCATTCTTACTTATGAATTTGATATCAACATACTGACAACTGCTACTATTGATGTTTAAGGTGAATGCAAGAGTGTCGTTATAAAACCACTTGTCTTAGGTAAGAGGGTATGTAGTTATGACTTTGTGTATCTTTGGGTCATTAGTCAAGGTAAAAGGTTACCCTTGACCATTTCTCAAATTAAAATCTTGTGTACAAGATATCATAGGAACCTCTGAAAAGTTTTTCTTCATGTTCACAACATTGCTTCACCATTGATTACTCCAGGGTATATAGCAAAAATTATGTGTGTGTCAAGATATGTACATGTGTGTAGATTTTTGTGAAAGATATCTCTTTAACCATTGAACAGCTTTGTCTGATATTTACATTATAGCTTCACCTCGCCAAGGTCTACACCTAATAAGATTTCAGAGGTCATTTGTCGAGGCTAAAGGTCAAAGGTCACTGATGTATACCTTTTGAATTAAAATGCTTGTGTAAAAGATATCTCATGGAGTCCTTACCAGTAGTGCTTCATATTCAGATTTAATTAAATGAGATTTTGATTGTCATTGGTCAAGGTTACATGCAAAGGTCACCATTGACCACTGTTTAAATGTAAAAACTGTGTAATTAGGTACACATATTTCTCAAATAAATCCTTGTGTACAAGATACCTAAATGAATGCTTGGCACTTTTTCTTCATATTCACAATAAAGCTTTACTAGTGACTTCACTGGGGTGAGAGTTGGAGATTTTTATCCGTGCGTTTGCTGAAAGATATTTTCAGAATATTTTATATTAGAAGTATATAAAAGGAAAATTCTGTCCACTTCTCTAAAATCCTTGGTTAGCATTAATAATCCAGAGTTACCACACCAAGCTCTATACTTAGTTAGATTTGATCAATCATTGATCAAGTTTTAAGGTCAAAGGTCACCGGTGACCAATTTTGAAATAAAAATCTTATGTACACAATATCTCACGAACCTAAGTCTAATTTAACATCATAGCATCACACTATCAAGTTCTTCAACAGATTAGATTTTTGTGGTCATTGGTCAAGGTTAAAATTCAAGTTCAAGGTCACTGTTAACCACTTTAAAAATCTCATGAACCTCGTAATGGATTATTCCTTTGATAGATTTAGATCAGAAAAAAAGATAAGAGGAAGGGAGTATACCTATGTGAGCCTCTGTCTAATTTGTTTTCATTTGTGACAGTGGAGACTGCAGAGGTCACAGTTCAAGATCAAATGTTTTAGTTTCTTTAAACATCATCTTATACTGCAGGGAAATTTATGCATTGTCAAAAATGGTTTGTACATCCCTTTTAGTTATTGATCAAAGGAATAAGTGTTTCTGTGGTAAGAGTTCAAGGTCACAAGGTCACCAAGCTAAAGATGTTGTTTCCATTTTCAAGCACCTAAGTGCACCAAAAGTTAAAATGGTAGGATTGTGTTTTCAGCTATTTTGTTACCTGGAACATACGTTAGTATTTCTTCAGATAGCGGATTTTTTTAGTACTAGAAATAACTCACCATACATACGTGACATTATGAAATATCTTGAATGAGTCAGAGTTTCAGGGTTGTAGGTCAAGGTCAATGTCACTTTTTAGAAAATCATTGTCAGAACTGTACAGCTCTATGCCTTACAGAACCCTGATATTATTACACACAGTTGATGAAACTGTATTGTCAGATTATCTTACCTTTTTGTTTCATTGTTTCATGAAATCAGATACAAATTACAGCCCTGGTAATTCAGATTGTATACTTGTATACAAACAGCACCATCTATATAAAAGCATTACAGTACAATAGCTGGTGGGTCTGGTAAAAGATGTGTTTTATTTTATACTCATAATGCATGTTGTAAACTATATCAGTCTGTTTATGAAGTGGAACTGTTCACAAGGTCAGTTCCTGGATCAGAATGAGGTGGGACTCTGATTTGTTTCTTAAATTCAACAGTGATGTTGGAAATGACATGTGTGGCACTTTTCTGAGTTCCCTACATAAATGTTATGGTAGGTGTATAATAGATTAATGTGTAAAGTAGAAATATGTAATTCTTTTGATGATCCTGGTAAAAAACATTTGACAAATAACTATACAATGAGATTTGAGATGTATTACATATTACAGCAACTGATGTTGATGTTTTATGTTAAACAGAACAACAACACGGATGGAGAGGAACTCAAAGGATGACAAGGATGATAAAAAGTCTGTTGGTAAAATCGTACTGCGTCGTGACTCGTCCCGTTCTGGTAGCAAGGAGGATGAATGGTAAGGATGAAGGTGGACTCAGCACTTCAGATTGGTCCTGTTTTGACATTGTTATGTTCTGTTTAATTTCTCCCAGTTTTCTTTTGCAACATTATGCTAATATTAGTTTTTTTACATTAACGTTTTATTGGAATTGTTCATAAGTGGTTCATGACTAAAAAAGTTGAAATTTTTGCAGCATTTCCTTGGATTTAATCACCATGAATATATATAAGTTATGAAATTGGATTGAAAAACAAGTAACAATGCAACGTCAAGTAATTTGAGGAATATGGAAATCAGTTTCTTGTTTTAAAAAAAATTGATTCATGTGATATCGAACAATTAGCTATGGCTTTGCTGACCTTTGTAGAACTTTGCTGACCTTTCGAGGATTTTGTTTATTTATTTCTAGGTATGCAAGTGGCGACTTAAAGAAGCAGAATCAACAAAAGTAAACATTTTTATTACAGATTTATACAAAAACTAACTTAAAGCATACCGATACCACCTGGAAAAGCACATATCAGTTTTGTTGAAATCGCCCTTCGCCCGTGGTTGATTGTCCATCCATAAACAGACTTTGTTATCGTTATTTCTTGAAAACTGGTGAACAAGTATTCTCAAACTTTATATATAGGTTCCCCTCTGTCCCTATTTGTGCCCATTGTGTTCAATCAGTTTTCAGATAGCTGATAAGCAGCCATCTTGGATTTTGGCAGTTGTATGTTCCCCAGTGGTCCCTAGTTGAGCCCAGTAATTCAAAGACTAATCAGTGAGGCAAGATGGCCAACTCAAAATTTGAGTCTTTCAACACAATACATGATTCCTGATGATTTTTTGAAAAATCTGGAAGTCCAACACAAAATAATTCTCCTAATTATGGTAATTTATAGTGTCACTATCCAACACTTCATTGTTAAATTCTGAAGTTTGAAACAGGAAAACAAATTTGTGTTATCATATCTCTGACAGTTCTGTATCTATATATTCTTGCACCTAATACTGAAGTGATGAGAGATACCCAAGGTATACACTAGTAACACATTGCTTTCTGTGTATTTTTATATAAATATAAACTTAATAAATAAATGTAAAATATATTCATAACTTTATCCAGTAAACAGTCAATCACCATTACAGATGTTTGATAACCTTATCCAGTAAACAGTCTATCACCATTACAGATGTTTGATAACCTTATCCAGTAAACAGTCTATCACCATTACAGATGTTTGATAACCTTATCCAGTAAACTGTCGATCACCATTATAGATGTTTGATAACCTTATCCAGTAAACAGTCGATCACCATTACAGATGTTTGATAACCTTATCCAGTAAACAGTCGATCACCATTACAGATGTTTGATAACCTTATCCAGTAAACAGTCTACCACAGATACAGATGTTTGATAACCTTATCCAGTAAACAGTCGATCACCATTACAGATGTTTGATAACCTTATCCAGTAAACTGTCTATCACCATTACAGATGTTTGATAACCTTATCCAGTAAACAGTCTATCACCATTACAGATGTTTGATAACCTTATCCAGTAAACAGTCGATCACCATTACAGATGTTTGATAACCTTATCCAGTAAACAGTCTATCACAGATACAGATGTTTGATAACCTTATCCAGTAAACAGTCGATCACCATTACAGATGTTTGATAACCTTATCCAGTAAACAGTCTATCACAGATACAGATGTTTGATAACCTTATCCAGTAAACAGTCTATCACAGATACAGATGTTTGATAACCTTATCCAGTAAACAGTCGATCACCATTATAGATGTTTGATAACCTTATCCAGTAAACAGTCGATCACCATTACAGATGTTTGATAACCTTATCCAGTAAACAGTCTATCACAGATACAGATGTTTGATAACCTTATCCAGTAAACTGTCTATCACCATTACAGATGTTTGATAACCTTATCCAGTAAACAGTCGATCACCATTATAGATGTTTGATAACCTTATCCAGTAAACAGTCGATCACCATTACAGATGTTTGATAACCTTATCCAGTAAACAGTCTACCACAGATACAGATGTTTGATAACCTTATCCAGTAAACAGTCGATCACCATTACAGATGTTTGATAACCTTATCCAGTAAACAGTCGATCACCATTACAGATGTTTGATAACCTTATCCAGTAAACAGTTGATCACCATTACAGATGTTTGATAACCTTATCCAGTAAACAGTCTATCACCATTACAGATGTTTGATAACCTTATCCAGTAAACAGTCTATCACAGATACAGATGTTTGATAACCTTATCCAGTAAACAGTCTATCACAGATACAGATGTTTGATAACCTTATCCAGTAAACTGTTGATCACCATTACAGATGTTTGATAACCTTATCCAGTAAACTGTCGATCACAGATACAGATGTTTGATAACCTTATCCAGTAAACATTCGATCACCATTACAGATGTTTGATAACCTTATCCAGTAAACTGTCTATCACCATTACAGATGTTTGATAACCTTATCCAGTAAACAGTCTATCACAGATACAGATGTTTGATAACCTTATCCAGTAAACTGTCTATCACAGATACAGATGTTTGATAACCTTATCCAGTAAACAGTCGATCACCATTACAGATGTTTGATAACCTTATCCAGTAAACAGTCGATCACCATTACAGATGTTTGATAACCTTATCCAGTAAACAGTCGATCACCATTATAGATGTTTGATAACCTTATCCAGTAAACTGTCTATCACCATTACAGATGTTTGATAACCTTATCCAGTAAACAGTCTACCACAGATACAGATGTTTGATAACCTTATCCAGTAAACAGTCGATCACCATTACAGATGTTTGATAACCTTATCCAGTAAACAGTCGATCACCATTACAGATGTTTGATAACCTTATCCAGTAAACAGTCTATCACCATTACAGATGTTTGATAACCTTATCCAGTAAACAGTCGATCACCATTACAGATGTTTGATAACCTTATCCAGTAAACTGTCTATCACCATTACAGATGTTTGATAACCTTATCCAGTAAACAGTGGATCACCATTACAGATGTATGATAACCTTATCCAGTAAACAGTCGATCACCATTACAGATGTTTGATAACCTTATCCAGTAAACAGTCTATCACCATTACAGATGTTTGATAACCTTATCCAGTAAACAGTCGATCACCATTACAGATGTTTGATAACCTTATCCAGTAAACAGTCGATCACCATTACAGATGTTTGATAACCTTATCCAGTAAACTGTCTATCACCATTACAGATGTTTGATAACCTTATCCAGTAAACAGTCGATCACCATTACAGATGTTTGATAACCTTATCCAGTAAACTGTCGATCACCATTACAGATGTTTGATAACCTTATCCAGTAAACAGTCTACCACAGATACAGATGTTTGATAACCTTATCCAGTAAACAGTCTATCACAGATACAGATGTTTGATAACCTTATCCAGTAAACAGTCGATCACCATTACAGATGTTTGATAACCTTATCCAGTAAACAGTCTATCACCATTACAGATGTTTGATAACCTTATCCAGTAAACAGTCTATCACCATTACAGATGTTTGATAACCTTATCCAGTAATCACCATTACAGATGTTTGATAACCTTATCCAGTAAACAGTCTACCACAGATACAGATGTTTGATAACCTTATCCAGTAAACAGTCTATCACCATTACAGATGTTTGATAACCTTATCCAGTAAACAGTCTACCACAGATACAGATGTTTGATAACCTTATCCAGTAAACATTACTATCCAGTAAACAGTCGATGCTGTTACAGATGTTTGATAACCTTATCCAGTAAACTGTCGATCACCATTACAGATGTTTGATAACCTTATCCAGTAAACAGTCGATCACCATTACAGATGTTTGATAACCTTATCCAGTAAACAGTCGATCACCATTACAGATGTTTGATAACCTTATCCAGTAAACAGTCTATCACAGATACAGATGAGTTTTATCTGAATTGAAGGTTAAACAGCACGATATATTGAATCCTTTACAAACTCCTACTGACATGTCCAAAAACTGCTAATGCTGTTGAAAAAAGCTAATTGCTTCCATATCACATGAACGGTACACTAAAAATCCATATTCTTATTGTACATTTTTATTTCTTTCCAAGATTTGAAAAGTTCTCTTTGAACTTCTATGTTTTGTTTTTAATTAACTATCCTAGAATGATATTTACTTTTACTTAGTAAAGTTTGTTTATTGTTATCAAGGCAAAAACACGTTTTTTCTGTATAAATGTTTATGCACTATCGTTGGCTGGTTATGATTTTGTGTAGCTAGCAACAGCTTTGATCCAATAGCAGTGTCAACTACCACAAGCTTGTCTATAGATTAACCTCACAGCCATCGCTTAATTGTCGTACACATACATGTATTACCTCCAGACTAACGCTTTCTTGTGGTATCTTATTGGTCTTAACCTGTCTCATCTTACCTGTTTAGTGGCTTTGTTTTACTGCAACATACTGGCCTTTGTTATCAATTTTAGGTAGCTGCTAGTATATACAACTACATCCCTCCCCGGGTTACCAGATTGTATAGTTACTAGTAACCCTTAGTAACCCTAACCAAGCCTGTTACAGTATATACAACTACAATCCTCCCTGGGTTACCAGATTGTGTAGTTACTAGTAACCCTAAACCTAGTCTGTTATAGTATATATACCTACATCCTTCCCTGGGTTACATGATTGTGTAGTTACTAGTAACCCTAAACTTATCCTGTTACTAGTAACCCTAAACCTAGTTATAGTATATACAACTACAATCCTCCCTGGGTTACCAGATTGTGTAGTTACTAGTAACCCTTAGTAACCCTAAACCTAGCCTGTAATTGTATATACAACATTATCCCTCCCTGGGTTACCAGATTGTGTAGTTACTAGTAACCTAAACCTAGCCTGTTATAGTATATACACCAACATCCCTCCCTGAGTTATTGTGTAGTTACTAGTAACCCTAAACCTAGTCTGTTATAGTATATATACCTACATCCCTCCCTGGGTTACATGATTGTGTAGTTACTAGTAACCCTAAACCTAGTCTGTTATAGTATATATACCTACATCCCTCCCTGGGTTACATGATTGTGTAGTTACTAGTAACCCTAAACTTATCCTGTTATAGTATATACAGCTACATCCCTCCCTGGGTTACATGATTGTGTAGTTACTAGTAACCCTTAGTAACCCTAAACCTAGCCTGTTATAGTATATACAACTACATCCCTCCCTGGGTTACCAGATTGTGTAGTTACTAGTAACCCTTATTCTAGCCTGCTACAGATAAGTCTCTCCTCAGAGACTATCTAAGTAGCTGTCTTTGATGTGACTTTGACTTTATGTGTTGCCCAGACTGTTTTTCCTAACCTGTGGAACTCCTTCAGCCAAACTGTAGTGTTTACCTGAAATTTCCAAGCTCTCATCATCTTACTTGAGGTAAACTTCTGATTTCTTTACGTAACACAGGGACAAGGACATTGGAGTGAGGTACTGTATTATACAACATTTTACTGTAGGGGGAATCTGCACGAGTTGTTCAATCTAAAACAAACATGTTTCTCACTAATTGTTTCCTTACTTTTATCTTCCACATTATCTTCTTTATCTACTCACAAAACAGTCCTTGAAGGTTAGGAGTGCTGATTGAAATAAGTTGTCATATCCACTTACAAATTTCAATATATATTCCATTTTTCCCAGAAAGACCAACTCTGTAAAAGCTATCAATATACGTTGTATCTATTAAACAGAAATTTAATCAGGAAAAGCGAAAAATGAAAAGTAAAGGAGTTAAGTGACATCTGTTGGATATCATTGTCACCTTTTGTGCGCCCCTTCACCCCCCACCCCCATCTATCCTGATCACCATCTCCCAACAATGTCTTGTTTCTAGTCCATGTGCTTTTGCACCCCCATCCATGTCCTCACCATTGCATCCCCATCCATGTCCTCTCCAGTGCACCCCCATCCATGTCCTAACCTGTCAGCCCCATCCATTTCATCTCCAGTGTACCCCCATCCATGTTCTCTCTTGTGCACCCCAATCCATGTCCTCTCCAGTGCACCCCCATCCATGTCCTCACCTTTGCATCCCCATCCATGTTCTCACCATTGCATCCCTATCCATGTCCTCACCAGTGCACCCCTATCTTTGTCCTAACCTGTCAGCCCCATCCATTTCATCTCCAGTGTACCCCCATCCATATCCCCTCTAGTATACCCCCATCCATGTCCTCTCCAGTGCACCCACATCCATGTCCTCACCATTGCACCCCCATCCATGTCCTCTCCTGTGCCCCCCCCCTTCCAAGAAAGCCAAGAAAGGGGCAAATTTGTTACCATAGGTATGCCAAAAATCTGTCTTTTTTGCCTTAGATGTAATCTCCATGAAATATACCCCAGTATAGTTCACAGCCATGTGTTTGTACTGCTGTTCACTAGGGAAGGAATTTCACCAGTTATGAATGGAACATAGTGAGGAACAGAGTTGAAAATCAATTTTTTTATAGAAGAATTCTTTGTTAAAAGATCAGTCATTAGCACTCTGGAGTTCTTTTTAAGTTTATTTACCACAAATTCCAGTTCTTAGAATGGTAGTTAGAAGCTTTGGTAAATGTTTGTTGGACAACTTGACCAATTAGCTATGAAACACTTTATATAAGTTCTTGTGAAGTTCAGAAATTCAATACAGACAAGTAATAACTGTATCTTTATGATTGTATAACTGAAGTTTGATTACATGTAACTTGTATGTAGGATTTCATATGTTTTCAAGCTGTATTAGAAGATGTGTTCTTATTTAAGGATTTGGTTAACTTTGTTGACAAATATCAGAAAATTTGAAAAAAAAATGTAATCAGTTGCAGATGTAATAAGCTTCATTTCCTCTGTTGAAGATCTAGGAAACCTTGATTTACTCAGTTGGAAGTTTTAGTAAAATTGAAAGTTTTAATTTGGGTGATCTGGTAAATAAAATTATATTCATTCCTTTTGGGTGGTCTTGTGAGTCCTCTAACTTTTCTTTCAATTAATTTTTCTAAGTGCTAACATTATGATAAAGTTGTCCTACTAACATAATCCATGCAGAAGCACTGTATAGAGTTGATAGAAATCATTTGTACCAAATTTTGTGAGCATGAAGATAGGATCAGTCGAAATTGATATAACAAAATTTTAAATAATTTCAATATTTTTAAGGCATGATTTGGGCAGGACATTTTAGACAATTTAATGTATGATGATATGAAGGTTTCATGATCCTCTGATCTCTCTGTAAGCTGACAAGGTTTGATACAATTTTATATCACCATATTAATTATCTTACTCCATCCTCTTTGTTTTCAGCTTTGATTTAAATTTAGACTTTACATATTAAAATCATATGATCATTTAGCGTGGATTTACTTAGTAGACAAACACTGCTTCCTTTTGGTTCACTTTGGCTTGATATCCTTTGTTTTACATCATGTTTATTTGTGATATTGCATGTAAATTTGTCTTGGTGTGCTATAGAAATGTCATCATCATTTTAAAAAAAAGTGTTCTTCAGTAAGATAACATAAAGTTGAAATCAAAACCTTCTGGAAAAGAGCATTTGTATAATCTAGTGAAGGAAGAAAGACTCAATCAAATTTTCAACTCTCTCTGAACACAATGACCTTTAGTTGATTGTAGACTGATTCTGAATTTCACCACTGTAGCAGACTGTTCTAGACATAAATATAACTACATTTTGTCAGATGGAATTAGCGACCTCATTGGAATGACTGATAACAGAAATGATTAGAATCTGAGTGACAAATATAGTGGTTATGAAACAGATGACTACAGACCATCATAATTGTAAAACAGTTGACCACTGACCACATCACATTGCTGATCATTGTAAAAATCTGGACCAGTATGTAAAACATTACAACCACTAACATTTATATAACATAGACCAGTGAACTTCTTATAATATTGACCAGTGTGGTGATCATGGTGACCACTGACCTCTATATGACATTGACCAGTGTGGTGATCATAGTGACCACTGACCTCTACATGACATTGACCAGTGTGGTGATCATGGTGACCACTGACCTCTATATGACATTGACCAGTGTGGTGATCATAGTGACCACTGACCTCTATATGACATTGACCAGTGTGGTGATCATGGTGACCACTGACCTCTATATGACATTGACCTCTATATGACATTGACCAGTGTGATGATCATGGTGACCAGTGACCACTATATGACATTAACCAGTGTGGTGATCATGGTGACCACTGACCTCTATATGACATTGACCAGTGTGGTGATCATAGTGATCACTGACCTCTATATGACATTGACCAGTGTGGTGATCATGGTGACCACTGACCTCTATATGACATTGACCTCTATATGACATTGACCAGTGTGATGATCATGGTGACCAGTGACCTCTATATGACATTGACCAGTGTGGTGATCATAGTGACCACCAACCTCTGACATTGACCAGTGTGGTGATCATAGTGACCACTGACCTCTGACATTGATCAGTGTGGTGATCATGGTGACCACTGACCTCTATATGACATTGACCTCTATATGACATTGACCAGTGTGATGATCATGGTGACCACTGACCACTATATGACATTAACCAGTGTGGTGATTATGGTGACCACTGACCTCTATATGACATTGACCAATGTGGTGATCATAGTGACCACCGACCTCTGACATTGACCAGTGTGGTGATCATAGTGACCACTGACCTCTGACATTGACCAGTGTGGTGATCATGGTGACCACTGACCTCTATATGACATTGACCAATGTGGTCATCATAGTGACCACATAGTGACCACTGACCTCTGACATTGACCAGTGTGGTGATCATGGTGACCTCTGACATTGACCAGTGTGGTGATCATGGTGACCACTGACCTCTAATGACATTGACCAGTGTGGTGATCATGGTGACCACTGACCTCTATATGACATTGACCAGTGTGGTGATCATAGTGACCACTGACCTCTATATGACATTGACCAGTGTGGTGATCATGGTGACCACTGACCTCTATATGACATTGACCTCTATATGACATTGACCAGTGTGATGATCATGGTGACCAGTGACCACTATATGACATTAACCAGTGTGGTGATCATGGTGACCACTGACCTCTATATGACATTGACCAGTGTGGTGATCATAGTGACCACTGACCTCTATATGACATTGACCAGTGTGGTGATCATGGTGACCACTGACCTCTATATGACATTGACCTCTATATGACATTGACCAGTGTGATGATCATGGTGACCAGTGACCTCTATATGACATTGACCAGTGTGGTGATCATAGTGACCACCAACCTCTGACATTGACCAGTGTGGTGATCATAGTGACCACTGACCTCTGACATTGATCAGTGTGGTGATCATGGTGACCACTGACCTCTATATGACATTGACCTCTATATGACATTGACCAGTGTGATGATCATGGTGACCACTGACCACTATATGACATTAACCAGTGTGGTGATTATGGTGACCACTGACCTCTATATGACATTGACCAATGTGGTGATCATAGTGACCACCGACCTCTGACATTGACCAGTGTGGTGATCATAGTGACCACTGACCTCTGACATTGACCAGTGTGGTGATCATGGTGACCACTGACCTCTATATGACATTGACCAATGTGGTCATCATAGTGACCACCGACCTCTGACATTGACCAGTGTGGTGATCATAGTGACCACTGACCTCTGACATTGACCAGTGTGGTGATCATGGTGACCACTGACCTCTATATGACATTGACCAGTGTGGTGATCATGGTGACCACTGACCTCTAATGACATTGACTAGTGTGGTGATCATGGTGACCACTGACCTCTAATGACATTGACCAGTGTGGTGATCATGGTGACCACTGGACTCTTATGGCATTGACCAGTGTGGTGATCAGAGTGACCGCCGACCTCTGACATTGACCAGTGTGGTGATCTTGATGACCACTGACCTCTAAATGACATTGACCATTGTGGTGTCCTTGATGATCTGTGGCCATTTTATGACGTTGACCTGTGTGGTGATCATAGTGACCACCGACCTCTGACATTGATCAGTGTGGTGATCATAGTGACCACCGACCTCTGACATTGACCAATGTGGTGATCATAGTGACAACCGACCTCTGACATTGACCAGTGTGGTGATCTTGATGATCTGTGGCCATTTTATGACATTGACTGTTGTGTTGATACCTTATGAATGATGTAGGAATCTCTCGGACCAGTTTACTTATTTCGGATATGACCTGACCATGTGAATGACTATGTTGACTTACGTACTTACATGTTATCTAGGTCTGTGAGATTCCAGGAGAATCCAGAGAAGAATGCTGCAACTGCTGCTTGGGTTAACAAGGTAGACAATGGCAGCACTATCACTATTGAAGATGAGGAAGACATGGAGACTAGTGATTCAAAGCTGAACATGAAGAAATCTGCCTCTGTAGACTCATTTGGAATAGACTCCGACTCTCTTCCAGACCTGGATACAGAAGCTGCTCCCAAGGAGGACAGCAAAAAATCAGATGTGTCATCAGAGAAAAAAGAAGGTACTCAAGTAGTATAATGTTGGTCATTCATTCTTGTATAAAGTGTAAATATTCAGAGTGTTTAAGAGTTAAATGTACATTTGTGTTTATGTCTTTTTGCTAAATATGTTGATTTTGTTGTACAGAGCCCAAAGCACCACAGGAGTTCCCAGACCCCCGAAGAACTTGTCTAACAGGTATGTACAGCTGTTGATACTTCACAAAGATCCCCCAGAACTTCTCTGACAGGTATGTAACACTGTTGATACTTCACAAAGATCCCCCAGAACTTGTCTGACAGGTATGTAACACTGTTGTTACTTCACAAGATCCCCCAGAACTTGTCTGACAGGTATGTAACACTGTTGATACTTCACAAAGATCCCCCAGAACTTGTCTGACAGGTATGTAACACTGTTGTTACTTCACAAATTGTAATTATATCCAACCTGCAAATGTAAAAATATTTAATCACTCAATAAAAGAAATGCAAAATTTATTTAAGAGACTAAAGATTTAGGCCCCCGATTGATGCAATATCTCTGTGTTGATTGTGACGATATTATATACGACATTTATTAACTAAATACTATTATTCAAAGTGATTCTGTCTGATTTCAGCTCGCAGAAGTACATCAAAAACATCACGGTTTAAAAATTTGCCTGACCCAAAAAAGAAACTGCCACCAGAGGAGAACAAAGTTGAGGAGGTGGAGGAAGGTGTGTAGAAGTTTATCCTTCAGTTACCCTGTGGATCAAGAAATATAGGAAGAGTTCTAAAGTCAAACACTAAACTGAAAAAAGCTTCCTTAAATCTGAGAGATTTGATGAGAAATAGGTTATTGTTGGTCTGGAAAGTCCAGACTGAATTGAGGATAATGGGTTGTAGTTTGTCTTGAACCTTTAGACTGAATTGAGGATAATGGGTTGTAGTAAGTCTTGAACTTTTAGACTGAATTGAGGATAATGGGTTTGTAGTTGGTCTTGAGCCTTTAGACTGAATTGAGGATAATGGGTTTGTAGTTGGTCTTGAGCCTTTAGACTGAATTGAGGATAATGGGTTTGTAGTTGGTCTTGAGCCATTAGACTGAATTGAGGAGAGTGTTACTATCATTTTTTTCTTCAGACATTAACTTTTAAATTATGTTGAGGATGATGGGAATTTTTTTGACGAACAGTAACTTCAGTTTTAAATTAACTTCTTTTCTTTGTATATAAAAGGATATTTCTATGTTTTGCTCTCTAGATGAAAATACTTAATAATAGTCTGATCATTTAAAAGGGAAATGTTTTATAAATTTAATGTGTTCTTCTTAATTTTGTACAGATGAGGAGAAAAAAGATGAGAAGCCTGGTACAAGGTTTTACTTTCATGATGGACAAGAATGCTACATCATGGATGCTAAGTCCATGGGGAATATTGGACGTTATCTTAATGTAAGTTTTTTATTCCAAAGAACATTGGATATAAAATTATTAAAATCTTTAGGAAAAAATTTCTTAAGTTAACTTATATTCATTTGTAAAGCTATACACAAACTTGAATCAGACTTTGCAACAAATAATATCCCAGATCTAGAAAAGATGGAATTTCTTGGTGGGAAATTTTACCTGTAACTACATCATACATCACTGGTACATTTTTATTTCTTTATATAAAAGTATTGTATACTTGTTATTCTTGTTTTTACAGCATAGCTGCACCCCAAACGTGTTCGTACAAAATGTTTTTGTAGACACGCATGACCTCCGTTTTCCATGGGTGACTTTCTTTGCTGGACAGTAAGTGATCTTTTTAATACATTTCACCATAAAAAGCAATGATTTACAAGTAGAAGACATAATATCTATGTATTTGTTACGTGTTTTTCTGAGAACGTGAATTTGTACATAATTAATGTTTTACTGTATCATCACACTCCAGATACATCCGAGCAGGCACTGAACTGACATGGGACTATAATTATGAGGTTGGCAGTGTTCCGGGGAAAGTCCTCTACTGCTATTGTGGATCTGCAGATTGTCGGGGAAGGCTCCTGTAGGTGGTACTGATCACTCACAGAGATCTGACTATAAACTGATACAGAAGGTTTGGAGGATTAAATTGGAGGCAGATCTTCACTGATGGCCATATCCAGCCAATTTCCTAGTCACATTGTCAATGAGGTGTGTAAAGGACATTGGACAATGGCCAAGGTCATGGACCAATTTCCTAGTCACATTGTCACTGATGTGTGTAGAGGGCAGTGGACAATCGTCACAGACATGGACCAATTTCCCAGTCACTTTGTCACTGATGTGTGTTGCACACAGTAGACAACAGCCAGTCATGGACCAATTTCCTAGTCACATTGTCACTGATGTGTGTAGAGAGCAGTGGACAATCGTCACAGACATGGACCAATTTCCCAGTCACATTGTCACTGATGTGTGTAGAGGGCAGTGGACAATCGTCACAGACATGGACCAATTTCCCAGTCACATTGTCACTGATGTGTGTAGAGGGCAGTGGACAATCGTCACAGACATGGACCAATTTCCCAGTCACATTGTCACTGATGTGTGTAGAGGGTAGTGGTCAATCGTCACAGACATGGACCAATTTCCCAGTCACCTTGTCACTGATGTGTGTTGCACACAGTAGACAATGGCCAGTCATGGACCAATTTCCCAGTCACATTGTCACTGATGTGTGTAGAGGGCAGTGGACAATCGTCACAGACATGGACCAATTTCCCAGTCACCTTGTCACTGATGTGTGTAGAGGGCAATGGACAATCGTCACAGACATGGACCAATTTCCCAGTCACATTGTCACTGATGTGTGTAGAGGGCAGTAGACAATGGCCAGTCATGGACCAATTTCCCAGTCACCTTGTCACTGATGTGTGTAGAGGGTAGTGGTCAATCGTCACAGACATGGACCAATTTCCCAGTAACTTTGTCACTGATGTGTGTTGCACACAGTAGACAATGGCCAGTCATGGACCAATTTCCTAGTCACATTGTCACTGATGTGTGTAAAGGACACTGGACAATGTTCATAAACATGGACCAATATCCCAGTCACATTGTCACTGATGTGTGGAGGGCAGTGGACAATCGTTATAGACATGGACAAGATCACATTCTCCCTTCTCAGTCAAGGAGATCAGACAATAAAGGAAGTCCATTGATTGTGTCTGAATGTTGTGTAAATGTGTAAAGTATGAGAACATTTTGTTTTCTCTATTTAATTGTCAAGAAAAGTTTGTGATTAAGAATCAGCTAGTCAATTTGTTTGGGAGTGAATAAGTTTGACAGGCAGCATATACTTGTATGTGTTAAATCCTGTTACTATCTGTTTCCCTGCTGAAGTATACTAACACAGAAAAAACTCAAACTCTGGTATCATAAAAACTGATGAAAATGTTTCTAGTAAAAAACTATTATATATTTCATTTCCTGGAATTCTGGCCTTTTACACAATCACAAATTGCTTAAGTCTTTTTAGCAAACAATTATGTGAATTTTTATTCTTAAATGTTTGAAAAGTGTTAAAGAAATTTCATGAATTGAGATGTAAATATAAATGAAATTGTTTTATAACTTTTTGTGAGAGTATGAGGCATTTGATAACAGCCTTTTGTTATCATTTACTTCATTCATCGCAGATACACTTACCAGAGATATCAGCTGTTTATAAAGGATTTGTCAATGACACTGATGTTATCAATGACACACTGATGTTATCTATGACACACTGATGTTCTCAATAACACACTGATATTCTCAATGACACACTGGTGTTTTCAATGACACATTGATGTTATCAGTGAAACACTAATATTCTAAATGACACACTGATGTTATCAATGACACATTGATGTCATCAATGACACACTAATGTTATCGATGACAAACTGATATTCTCAATGACACATTGATATTCTCAATGACACACTGGTGTTTTCAATGACGCATTGATGTTATCAATGACACACTGATATTCTCAATGACACACTGATGTTATCAGTGACACACTGATGTTTTCAATGACACACTGATGTTATCAGTGAAACACTGATGTTTTCAATGATGCACTGATGTTATCAATGACACACTGATGTTTTCAATGATGCACTGATGTTATCAATGACACACTGATGTTCTCAATGACACACTGATGTTTTCAATGATGCACTGATGTTATCAATGACACACTGATGTTCTCAATGACACACTGATGTTTTCAATGACACACTGATGTTATCAATGACACACTGATGTTATTGATGACATGTTGAGGTTATGAATATTAGTAGCTATTTATTAAGTGAGAGCAGCTGAAGGAAACATTTCATCACAGGGACAATGTTTCTGTATTTATCATTGTGTTATTGCTGTATTAAAGTGTTAAGCGACTGCTGATGAGATGACCACACCATACACTGCCTTTTGATTATTAGATCTTGTGATGAGTGCACTGTGATGAGACATGAGCACACTGTGAGGAAGCTTATCTGTTGTAATTTAATAACTCGTTCTACAAGAATCTAAGATGTTCTTTCTTCGGTGATGTTATTGGAATTCTAAAACAGTTATCACTTTGTACTTGTTCTTATTGTAAAGATATTCATTTGATATATCTTTTCTAGTGACAAGTCGACCAGTATTTTATTAATTAACAAGAAATTTCAGAATATTCATTATTCTGTAATTTGCTTTTAAATCCATTTTTTGTAAGATAAATAGGACAGTTCAGGAATAGGAGATGGATATCTACACCATATGTGAAATCTTCACAGAATCATTAAGAAACAATCGTTTCAGCATTTCTTACGGTAAGGTGTCCAGCAGATGTTCTTTGATTCAACACGCTGAAGAGTAAATATAGAGGTTTAGAATGTGTGAAATCACTGAAAATTTCTCAAGGGTCAGGTTAACTGCAGTATGCTGAATGTTGTGTGAAAGAGACATTCTTAGCCTGCAGAATGTATACTGTTAGTATGCTGAATGTTGCGTGAAAGAGACATTACTATTAGCATGCTGAATGTATACTGTTAGTATGCTGAATGTTGCGTGAAAGAGACATTACTATTAGCATGCTGAATGTATACTGTTAGTATGCTGAATGTTGCGTGAAAGAGACATTACTATTAGCATGCTGAAAGTATACTGTTAGTATGCTGAATGTTGCGTGAAAGAGACATTACTATTAGCATGCTGAATGTATACTGTTAGTATGCTGGATGTTGTGTGAAAGAGACATTACTGTTAGCCTGCAGAATGTATACTGTTAATATGCTGGATGTTGTGTGAAAGAGACATTACTGTTAGCCTGCAGAATATATACTGTTAATATGCTGGATGTTGTGTGAAAGAGACATTACTGTTAGCATGCTGAATGTTGTCTGAAAGAGAGACATTGCTATTAGCATGCTGAATGTTGTCTGAAAGAGAGACATTGCTATTAGCATGCTGAATGTTGTCAGAAAGAGAGACATTGCTATTAGCATGCTGAATGTTGTCAGAAAGAGAGACATTACTATAAGCATGCTGAATGTTGTCAGAAAGAGAGACATTGCTATTAGCCTGCAGATTGTATATGTGAATGATGTACACACTGGATTATACATTTTTACCTTAAAGAAGTGAAGACATTTTCCTTCTTTCATTTATTTGTAATTACAGCAGTTATTATATGGCTTTACAGATGATTGTCTGGATTTAAGGCCAAACTTGCAATTGTAAAATACAATAAAAGAACATCAATATTTTTGTACATGTTGATAACATTGACATATTGTTGACCAAGAAATATTACAGGTATTTGTATAGTTTACAATTTGATTTATGTAAATGACTTACAATTCGAATAAAGATTTAAGGCATGTTTGCATGGTGCGTTTTCATATGAAATTGGCCATGAAGTACACCATTTCACAACTTTGGGGATATTTGGACTTATTCCAATATTTATAAAAGTCGCAAACAGTATACCACTACCATAACTGCTACAATAGGGTCATAGTCAAGGTCACAGGGATCTAATTTGTCAAAACCTTTAAAATACTTCCGGTAAGCCAAAACTCCCAAAAACAGGATATTTAGTGGAAAAGTGTTCTTAGATTAATGTCGGACAAATTTAACACAAAATAATAAAGAAAATACATTCACCTACATCCCAGGACATTACTGTTACTGTTTAGAGTTCACTGAAATTGCAAGTTGGCTTTGCATATTTGTTAAATCTGATTGGATGTGCCCACATTGAATCCCAATCTAATAAAAAGATGTTTTCACGAAGGCTTGCAAACATATAAACGTTATGTGATAAACAACCTTACATCCGTTTCCATTCGATATGAAAATTACGAAATTCTTCACAAATTTCTCGTTTTTCCTCACCACAGGCTCCATAAATTTAACATTCTCGGACTCGTTTCAGGAGTTTCACAAAATGCAAATTTATGTAAGAAAATCGTCTGTTTATCCCGAGTATTCAGTCATACAAAGTAATATATTTTTCCACCGATGAATTTGCAACGTTTCTCACATGGTACATACGATGCATGGCAAATGTAAAGTCCACCATATCATAAGATACTCGTGTCATTCCGACTTTTTCTGGTTTTGTACTGTATTTGTTGAAGAGTTCCGAGTGAATAAGAGATGCTCACAGTTTGACAATTTTGTGTAAATTCGGCAAGGTTTGAGCCAACAAATACTAAATAGAGTGGAATTTGAATAACTGATAGTGAAGTTAAAAAGATCAACACCAAAGTTTATTATACCATTTAGTACAGAACAAACAACATTTCAAATTTGTGCTGCATTACTCGGAGAACGTTCTTCATTCATTTAATATTTAATCAGTTTAAATTAACGCTATAACCATAACTTTAAAATCTTACTTCCGGTTCGGCGAGTCCAACATTGGTTGGCAGCAGATGACTTAAATCATCGACTCGATAACTAAACAAGTCTGTGAGTTTTCAAAGGTTTGACGAGTGCGGGCACCCATTTTCATGAATATGTGGGCAAAGAATTTTAGAGATGGGCTTGATGAAACCGGTTTCATATTAAACTATACACGTTATATTAAGAAAGCTGGCTGGGCAATGCGTCTATCCAGGTGTGGCACGTGCACGCGTACATTTCACAGATCACGCACGTGTTACTGACACACCACAGAGACTAAGTACCAGTTGAACTCGGACGAATACACTGGTAAAATTAGTTTATTTTCTTGTTTAAAAAGTTGGTATTCCTGATACAAGTAATCGTAGTGGAGGTTGATTTTACCATGGATCTTTTAGATACGGGTCGGACTGGCTCACGGGTTTCAATAGCTTTGACGCACCTTTGAGAAAGCAATCAGTTTCAACACCCAGGGATCAGGAAACTGGTGGTACATTCTGTTGTTTATTCAAAATTGAAAAAAAGTAAAGAAAAACAATGATTACTTGAGTTTCAGTTTATTGACCTTTTCGCTGCCACTCGTCAACTTTTCCTTGGAAAGACGATTATTTCAGAATGGAGATAAAGGCTCAGAATATATGAATAGAACGGGGTCTAACACAGACACAGGTGGTGTAGTGCTATATGTATACCAAGGGTCCGATACTCCAGAGATTTGATACTAGGAAAGTCATACACTCGCGAAATCGGTAATACGTTTTATACATCCTATAAACCTACTCCATGGAAAAACACTTTTGGGACAGAAAACATTTTTTTTGTTTGTTTTTTGTTTTGCTGTTGTTTTGCGGTACCAAAACATCCTCCTCCTCTGTCGCCTCCTCGTCATCATCTGGAAAGTTATGAAGTGATAGTCATGTTTATATTCAAACTTCTTTAATTATCTCCCTTACATAAATGCCGGCTACATACAAGTGTGGCATGTTATTGGTATGTTAACATAAATCTAAAGAAGACATCTGGGCTTAAAGTGAAGTGTTTTGATTGCAGCCATACAGCATATAATGAAGAACGGTAAACACTTCCGGAGTGTTGAGCTTTCAGACTGAAAACACTTTCAGGATTTCGGATCTTCTTTCAACAAAGTCGTAATCCGAAAATGGTTAGAGTTAAAACAAGACCGTTGAAAGATCGAAACATTTCCGCTGTCGGGTTTATGATGTGGGGGTATGGCGGTGAAGAAACACGCTTTAGTAGTATCAAAAGATAACCCTTATAATTATGTATAGGTGGGTGTAGGATTTTCCAGTAACAAGGAATTTATCATTCTTCTCACCTGGAACAATCAGAAAAAAGGAGTGAAAACTCTCCTTGTCAGCCCTATGCTCCAGCCCTCTATTTTTCTGTATAATTTACCTGTACTTGTGCCTGGAACAATCAGAAGAAAAGGAGTGAAAACTCTCCTTGTCAGCCCTATGCTTCGACTCTCCATTTTCTGTATAACTTACCTGTACTTGTATGAGTACTTCCTGGTACCAGGAACTCGTGGTTATTAGATA